TTTTAGTAAATACACCCTACTCACCATATCCAACCCTAATCAAACATATTACTTGACAACGTAGCGAGCATTGGCGGTGGCGCAAAGAGGTATCATTGGATGTTTGTTCCTTTGCCCTTTCCTTTGTGGACCAACAGCCCTCCATTGCTGCCCAACAACTCCTCCATTAGCGATGAAGGTTAAGGAAATTATTAAGAGACCAAATCTAAAAGTGAAAGACCATCTAACTATTAGTAACAATCATTGAAGATATTAGTTGGATCTGAAGTTCAAAAATAAAAAGGCATTTGGGAATTAGTTTTCATTTGAACCAAGTTTGCAGTAGCTATTAGACCCATATGGCTTGCTGTTGAACCAGTTTGAACAAATTCATTATTTGAAGACTAAATCAAAACTCCATTGAGATGAGAAAAAAAAAAAAAAAGAAGTTTCACTAAAACACCCAAAATGAGGGCTGAAATTATAAAAAAACCCAACACCCAAAAAACTTTATAAACACACCCAAAACCCATCATTACACACACTCAAAACTCATTTATAAACACACCCAAAAAATATATAATTGTTGATTTTAGGGTTGATTTTGGGTGTGTTTCTATGTTTAAATAGTGCTTGAGTTTTTTTATAAATACATGTCTAGAATTGGGTTTATTTATAAATTTGTAAAAAAAAACCCTGATTTGTTCAAATTGACTCCTTTTAGTGTGAAGAACAAAAGCTTTAGAAGAAATTAAAATATGATGTGGCAAATGAGATGTGATATAGTATATTAGGGTATACCAAGGGTATTTTGTGTAGTCAAATAGGGTGTACTTAGTTAATTTTACATTTTGATTTAAATAATATGGTGTATTTAGATCATAGGGTGTACTCAGTTAATTTTAGGGAGTTTCACTAAAACACCCAAAATGGGGGCTGAAATTATAAAAAAACCCAACACCCAAAACACTTTATAAACACACCCAAAACCCATCATTACACACACTCAAAACCCATTTATAAACACACCCAAAAAATATACAATTGTTACTTTTGGGGTTGATTTTAGGTGTGTTTCTATGTTTAAATAGTGCTTGGGTTTTTTTATAAATACATATCTAGGATTGGATTTATTTATAAATTTGTATTAATTTTATGGTTCGTTTAGCATCACTAAAAAAAAAAGGGAGTTTCACTAAAACACCCAAAATGGAGGTTGAAATTATAAAAAAACCCAACACCCAAAACACTTTATAAACACACCCAAAACCCATCATTACACACACTCAAAACTCATTTATAAACACACCCAAAAAGTTGACTTTGTGATTGATTTTGGGTGTGTTTCTATGTTTAAATAGTACTTGGGTTTTTTTATAAATACATGTTTAGGATTGGGTTTATTTATAAATTTGTAAAAAAAAACAGCGGGTTCTTTTAAATGAATTTTCACGTTTCCCATAATACCCCTAATAATTTTCTAAATTGACAGCTTTTTATCCCCCTTGCAACTCGATTCTTCTTCTTCTCTCTTGCAACTCAACTTCTGTCTGCAACTCGATCATACCAAAAAAAAAAAAAAAAAAAAAAAAAAAACCCCTAGCCCCTCTCCACGCTGTGATCTCCACTCCAACCACAAAAGATCCAAACCCCAAATATATCTTCAAACATCTTTATGCGAATTGTGGAGGACCAAAATCGATAGCAACACAGGCATCTACCCTCCTTGATCAACGATTTTCACACAAAAAAAAGATTCTTGAATCCATCAACAATTCGTTGACCTTCTCTTGGAAACCAAAATAAAGGGAAAGTTGAAACTCAAATCAAAACCACAGGAAAACAAAATTTTCATTTGGATTTGATTTCCTTCTTGTTGTTTTCTTTGATGACAACACAGTTTTTATCTGGGTTTGAGTTGAGTTTTTGGTTTAAAAATTATTGATCTGGGTTTTTTCTCTTGGTGTTTTGAGGCAATGGAGAGAGAGAGAGAGAGGGATGCAGGTGGGTACGGTGTGGGTGGGTCCTTTTTGGTCATTATACATACTAAAAGCACTTCTAATAAAAATTTACCAAATACTTTAAATCTTCACAACACTTTTTCTAATACAATTTACCAAACGCCTAACTGTTTTTTTTCACAGCTGTTTATTCTCACAACACAGCAAAAGCAGTTTAAAAAAAAAAAACACAGCAATACCAAACTAAACCTAAATACAGCCACAAAACCTCAAGTTTGAAGCTGATAGAAAACAGATAGATCAAGCTTGTTGACCAATAAAACGAACACCGGTTAGGATAAGTTGTGTTTAATTCCTTTATTAATGTATGTTAATGATACATGCAACGTTTGGTAATGTTACTCTCCTGCAACTTAATTTTCATGAAGGACTTGTGACTTCACAATCGAAAGCATATGATCAGTTTTATGTTAAATCATTTTCATGTAGAATGTCACCAAGATGCACGAAGAAACTCCTCCTGCTATCATTGAAAGATCAATTCATTTATCAAGCAGAATAATCAACATATCAGGGTTTGATTTTGGTTGTGCAAGTCTCAAGATATGGCAAGAATAGAGAACTGGAACTGTATCATTACAACCAACTTTGAGAAATAATTAAGATCGGACATACATGAACAGCAACAACATCTTTTATGTCTAACTCTAATCGCACTCATCTATCTCAATACTTCTTTTCTTCGTCTGGCACAATCCAGAAATACACATAAAGATAACTGGCAAAACATTAAAACAAATTCAACTCCATGCATTAAAGTTTCATCCCACGCAATGTCATAAAACTAAACACTTCCAGCACCACCCATCATAATAAGGCCATTGATCTCAAGATGAGGATAAACTATAATGACTAAGCAGGTCACACCGATTAGGATCCAACCTCCACGGGGGCCATATATGTTTTTCCACATCACAAGAATGGACCAACAAAGAACAGAGAAGCCAACTCCGAGTTCATTAGTTAGCAGCAGCCGAGAAAAGGGTAAGCCTGAGTCATGATATCCACAAAAGCCAACAGAAACCACAGGGCATAATATGTATAATATATGGAAGTGGCTTTCCTCATACATCAACCACACTCAAAATACACAAAGATAACAAATGCTACAAGGACAATTCAACATTACGTCTGGGAGAGAAAATAAGAAAACCCATTTCTAATTATATGATGCATTAGGCTTTCTATAGATGGTGGGGCATGAAAACCCAAAAAAAATTAAAAATGGAAGGAAACCATTTTAAGAATCTTCCCTCTATGCTTCACTTGAATTGAGGGAATAGGGAAAGCAGTAGAAAAGAATTTCCAATAGAAAGAAAGACAGAATGATACTTGTGCTTTAATGTATATGATAATTTTCATATCAGTTCAGCAGAATGACTTACACACCTAAGACATCATAATCACTTTAATTGCACATCATGGCTCATTCTAAAGCAATTTAAACTCTGTCATACGTAAACAAGTTCACAAAACCCACAACTTGCTTAGTCAAACATGATATACAAGAGACAAAATTAACATAAGCTAACCAATAAAGATACTAGCAACTATCCGAAATGATGTGGAAGGCTGTATAACAACTTTATTTTCAACACAAACTAACTGAAATAAGTGGTAGGAGACAGATCACAGAACTGAGAAATGTTTGAGAGAGAAAATAAAGTGTCCTATTTTTGTTATATTGAGAAGATGGATATTTCACCTGAAATTTTAGGTTAAATTCCCTCATTACAAAGACCAAACTGAGCATGAATGTGATGGAAAAAGGAATCACTTTTAGGATCTTCATCTATAGGTTCATAAGAGAGATGGAAAAAGACACAATATGATCTGTTCCAGTTGTACAGCTATTCTGAACTCAATAAATAGAAAAGTACCAACTTTGCACTTTTCATCTAGCGGTGAGGAAGTATCGAATAGACGACAAACTATCAAATCACTTGGCAGCACGTAGAGAACCCGCAGAATGGAAAGCTTACATCAAAGCCCACATTACATAAAAATCATGAATATGAACACTTTCTCTCAAACACCCAACCAAAGTTGAACAAATAAAGACATCATGGTATGGACTTAGAGGAAACAGAGGTTGACAATTCAAACTTAAATAATTGAAACTCCAGAAACAACACTTGTATGTCATGATAAAAATTTGAGGTTTTCATGAGCCACATATAAAGGTAAAGCCACAAATTATCACATAAAGAAAACAACTATCAGCATTATAGCATAAAGAAATGCAAGGAAGTTTACACAAAACAGAGGAAGTATTGTCATCAACTCAACAAAAAAGGAAGTCCCTATTTCAGCACATCATTTATCACAAAAGGTACACTATCCTTTCGAATAAGTTCTACATTTAGATCAACATCGATCAGAAAACAAGGCACAACTCATAGAAGCAGATGAAGTGAAGCAGCAACAGAATCACAGCAGTCCATATAATCAATCCAAAGATTTCATTGTCTGCATTCATGAAATCACCATAACCATTTAAAGCATTTGCGCCCAAGAAGCTTCTCAAGGACCTGAACCAAATACCCATTCACCACTCAAACAAAGTAATCAAAATCTAAACAAACCAAAAACGAAAAGCTTCTGCAATCAAATGCAAAAAATAAGATAGTACAGCCGATTGTAAATCTTTTAAAACATTTGACTAACTAAAGAAAATTATATGAAACTTGATCGCAAAAAGAGAAGTGAGTTTTGATCAAAATCCAAATCGAACTGAGGGGAAGTATCCATAAACCAAAAGCAACTACGCACAGAGCACATAAGATGAAATTGACTGACGGACAAGTAAGCCAAGAGACAATTAAAAAAAAAAACCAAGAACTTTCCGATTCAAGTTTGGCATTTTACAACATAAAACATTTGTGACCCTTCTGGTATACCAAGTTAAATTCTTAAATTTGTAAATTACCATGTGTGTATATATATATTGAAAAAAACAAAAAGGAAAACTATGAATGCAAAAATTACCTTAGTAAGTACTCAGTAGTATGGTGGCATGCCCTGGTAAAGTCCACCAGGCGGGACTCTAGGTACAGGAGGAGGCTGCTGATGCTGAGAAGGAAGCCCCATTGATGCTCCTAAACCATATTGTGGACCATCCGAATACCCTCCATGACCCATTCCTATAGAACTTGGCGGCAACCGAGCTGTGAATTCACCTGGAGGCGGCAAACCATATGCACCTCCCAAATTGGCATTATACCTAGCACCGAAACTATTACCAGGCAGCCCAGGCAAAGGCTGATGCCCGCCAGGATAACCGGAATATGGACCCTGCTGATGCGGCGCCGGCGGGCCCTGATACAACCCCGGTGGCATCGTAGATTGCGGTGGAGGGACGCCGGAGTTATCAACAGGAGCTGCTTGGGCCCCTCCAGGTTTGCTCTTCTTGTTGTCCACCGCCAATTTGCAAGCCACCTGATGACCGTCGATGTTCTTTATGGGTTCAACAAGTGCAGCCCTGGCACCCTCCTCGGTCTTGTACACAAAGAAAGCAAATCCCTTTGATTTTCCGGTGGCCTTATCGAACCCTAGCGGTCCTTCCTCAATCTCTCCGTAGGCCGAGAAAGTCGACAACAGTCTCTCCGAAGAGATATCAAACGGTACGCTTCCCACGTAAATCTTCCTGGCGGAGACATCGGCGGCGTTAGAGTTGCTGTTGCTAAACGACGCCGTCAAGCCGGCGGCGGCGAATTGCGTCACAGTGACTCTACCATCGATTTTCTTGCTCGGTTCTTTGAGAGCGAGAAGGGCCGAGTCGGCGTGCTTGAACGTGACGAAGCCGTAGCCTTTGGATTTTCCGGTGGCCTTGTCGGGAATTACGATGGCCTCATCGAGGTCGCCGAAGGCGGAGAAGAGAGAGCGGAGGGAGTCGGAGGTGGTGTCAGCGCCTAGGCCGCGGATGAAGAGTTTCCGGAGGGTAGAGTCTTTGTCGGTGACGGAGCGGACGGAGTCGAGGACGTCGGAGTGGCGAACGACGGCGTTTTGGAGGATGTCGATGAGCTGGTCCTGGGTCAAGGGTTGGAGGAGCTTGCGGGCGTCTTCTGAGGTTAGAGAACTCGATTGGGAAGTTGGAGATAGTGATACGGTGCCGTTCAGCTCAGTTTTGCGCTTCTTCGTGAAGTCCATGGTGTGTTTGGTTGATTTGGGATTCTGGGGAGGAAGTCGGAGCCTGGACTGCGCGAGTTTGTATAAACCCTAGACCTAGGGAGAGAGATGTTCGCTGTAAATTTCGGGGTAATTTATACGACATTATACTTGGTGTCGTTATGGCTGAGTAGGCCTGGGGCTCTAATGATCATGGGCCTTACTTGGGCTTACCATCTGGTTTATTTGGCCCAATAATTTTGAGATAGAGAAATTGGGGTTTTTCAGACAAATTAAAGTGGAGATTTCAAGAAAATAAATAAATAAATATGGAAGAAAATATTCTATTATTCAAATCAGAAAATATATTATTATTATTATTTTACACAAAGAATGGTGCACTCCTTAACACATTGAAACAAAGGAATAAAATTTATAAATAAATAAAAATAAACTAGCCACTACATTCCTTTGTGCCCCATGCAAGGGTTCATTGTTACCCATCTGGATAAGATTTGTTCAGATCAGATGTACAATTGTCATAAAGCTATATGCACAACAAAATGCAAAATTTTTAATTGTTTTCACTTGTGTGTCTTTGAATTAGTAAGGCAAGCTCTTAGAGCTTGTGCTGATAATCAGAGACTTGAGCTTAGATGAGTCCCCAGAAGCACTGGCCCTCCTTGTTATCATTTCCATGTTCTTGTAAAGACTCTGCTTCACCAAATTCTTCATCATTTTCTTCCCTTGTTGAGCCTCTCTTGGGTTTACAGGTGAACCAAGTGGGGACCCAATTGCAAATCTTGCTGTCTGGGGCCCAGAATGTGGGCCCATTTTGGCTTGCCTCTCATCCTTGAACCATTGCAATAGTTTTAGTGCTCTCTTTTGAGCTAAAGAGCTCCCCAATAAGGCCACTTCAAGAAGTACAGGCACAATTCCTGAGTTGGCCATTTTAACTCTTTGATCTGAGCTTTGATGAGCTAAAATCATTAGAATGTAGGAAGACAGCTCCTGGCATTTGGGTTTGTCCTCCCATGTCAAAATCTCTATCAAGCTCTCCGGCACCGCCGCGCTATTCTCCATAGCCTTCTTTCCCATTAGGGTCACAACTAAATTCCCCAATGTGGCTAGAGCTTTCTCAGAAAGCTCTTTGATGGAGGACAAATTCAACAGAGCCTCCACCACCCCATTGGAGACCAAATTGCCTGCATTTTCCAGCATGGTGGAGAGGTTGTACAAAGCACCCAAACATGTCTCTTTGGTTTCAATGCTTGAAGTTCCTGACTCAATAATGCCAACAAGAAATGGGAGAGTTTCTAATGAGGACAGAGGAAATTGGGTATTTGCAAGTGAGGACAACAAGAAGAGCAGCTCTGCAAATTGGTGCCTTGTTGGATCATCAAGAATGTTGATGTCTTTTGGTAGCTTGGAGAATATTCCTGCCTCCGCCATGAGAGCCTTGTTCCTGAAGAAACAGATCATGCAGAGAGAGAATCAGGAGAGAGAAGCACAAAATGTCTCCAACTTATTATTCTGTCTAACTTCATGATGACAATACGAATAAAACTATACAGGTCAAGTCAATAATGGGTTTGAAATGTGACCGACTGATAAAATTAAATAAACATTTTATATGAACCAAACCAAAGAAATTTGTAGCAGTGATGAAGTCAACGAGATTCCAAGATTTGGAGGTCAACAAAATGGGGTAATTTATTGTCCAAAAATCAAATGGAATCTGAACAACTACACTACAAATCTCACAACCCTAAATAAGTCGTCTCATTTGAAAAAAAGGGTCACGTTAGCTTCGATTATATTGTTTCCCTTCAAACTCTTCCAACTCCTCCAACTCTCCCAACCACTAGGGTTTGTGGGTCGACAGTCACCGCAGCCTGCGGGCTTCTCTGCTTCAAGGATTTCAGATAATGCACATGATAATTAAAGCAACATTAACCCATTTTCAACTGCTAATTAAGTTGCGAAATGTGCTTAAGCTATACTGTCAAGTTAATGGGCCCATAAATAAATGCAGCCATGAAAGATAGATAGCATATCTGCTGCATATGGCCAAGTTGATTGGGCAGTAGGTTAGGAACCACTCAAATATACTACTCTTTTAGGTCTGCTATATTCTTGCTTCTCTTCACTAACTGGCTAAAACCTACCCCACCATTAAAAATGTCATTGCCTTTATAGCAAACTCAGCGATTTTCTGTCACATCATCACTTGAGTCTGCCAGGATTCAAATGAAAAATATAACTCACTTAATTCTTAATCGACTGAATATGGATCCCTTTTTTCTTCTTCAATAATATATATATATATATATGTATTTAACACAAAAGAGAGGGATTTCTCACACACGCTATCAAAATTTCAAAAGAATTCGAAGTTGAGATGACCGATCCGTAAGTCAAAATCATTTTTTACTCTACTAGACCGCAATAATTCATGTTTAATAACCCTAGAGAAAAATCAGATAACTCTATCCTTAAGTCAAATTTGGTCACTAGAACTGAGTAGACATCACCACTTGACTTTGTACCCGTAAAATGAGTGAGTTACACACACACACACATATATATATATATTAAAAATTTCTTAGCATGATATGTGAGACTTGCAATTTTGACCTTACATTCAAACAAAAATACATTGCATATCAAATTCAAAATTATGTAAGTTTAACTATGCATTAAAACCAAAAGTATAAATATATATATATATATAATTATAAGGACTAGGAGCTTACGTGTAAGTTCCATTAGCAAGCTCAATCAAGGCGGACACCGCCGCTCGTCGCCTGGAAACCACCTCGGACGCCGCCATGGACACCAAAACCGGTATAACACCAAGCCCACCCACCAACTTCCTGACCTTGACATCTTCTTTAGCCAACGTCCCAATCTCCATAGCCGCCAACTCCCTCTCTTCCCAACAAACTCCAAAGTGAAGCTTCTTCACCGCCCTCTGCAACCCCAACACATCATCCTCATGATCATCGCCACTCTGCTTCTCCAAAACTTGCCCTGCCATTGTTGCTTCGTTGTTATTACTTATAACTTTGGCGGGTCTTGATGACGATGTGTCGAAGTGATCAGACGGCGTGGGGCGCTTGCGGGCGTTTTTGGAGAGCAGGAAGCGTCGGATTCGATTGAAAAACCGAAGCTTGATGTAAGAATATAACCATATAGGAGAAGCAGAAGAAGAGGTAGCAGTAGAATTAGAATCAGACATGTTTGGTGCTTGAATTAGGGAGACAGAGAAATACAAAGAGAGAGAGAGAGAGAGAGAGAGAGAGAGAGAGAGAGAGAGAGTAGAGGGGGGTTGAGAAACTGTGTTGGGTTTTCGTTTCTTTATATAAATTTCTATGGAAGTCTGACCTTTTAGAGAGAGATAGAGAGAGAGAGAGGGGTGTTTGTGGGTTTATGGGATCTGTGGGACAAAGCACATGCAGAGCAAACAGTGCTGACTAGTCTATTGGAACTCACAAACCGTGATAGATATTTTAAAAACACAGATTATATGTGATCTTTATTAGTATTATTCACTCCTATCCCCATAATGCCGCTGTTTAATTTCTCTAATTACCAAAATGTCATTCCAACCAAATCGATATAGTGCCAGTCATTTCTTCTTACGAAAGTTTGACGTCTGTGTGTATATCAGTCATTGCATAATTTGAATTTTGGGGTTGTGTTACTTGTGTACGGGGGGAGGGGCCCTACATATATCACCAACTCCATTGAGGGGAAGTTGCTTGGATGTAATCTAAATCCGACGGCTTAGACTATTGTTGACTGTCCCCATTATCAATGTTTATGTGCCATGGTTTCTGGGAATGCCACTGTGCTGAGCTGAAGTTTTTATTTATTTATTAGCAATGTATTATCTTTAATTAATCTTGGTTCTGAGATGTGAGCCACATTAATGGCATGTGGGATCAGAGACAAAGGGCACCTGCACTGATTTTCTTGCAGGGTCAGAAATTTTTGATCTCGTACAGGTGTCACGCATGCACAGAATTAATGGGTTACTTATGCTGCACAATTAAACCTCAGTCAGATCTAGCATTTGTTTTTTTCTTTCCTTTAATCTTTTTTCAGTGTTTGAGATTCTCTCACATGCATGGTTTCTTTTGGTGGATTTGTCTGCAGGATGTGTTGCTGAAACAAAAACATAGCTGCTTAACTAATGTTAAATTAACATGTTACATAAATTAATGGAATCGATCCTGCTTGGAAAAAAAAAAAGAACAGCTTGTTACACTAAATTCGTGCAGGTATATCCGATTATGTTTATAGGACAGAGTGGCATAGACATAGAACATAAACACATATTGTATTATTATTATATTATTATGAGATCTGACCTAAAATGATACAACGGTTTCAAGTCATTCACACGCAACGATATTGATAGGTTGTCATTCGGGTCAAAATTGAAGTCATTTTTTTCCAATTGGATTCTATGCTTGAAAATAGCAATTAGGTATTGCATCTGTGATCTGCCAGATTTGGTTGGTCTATGGAAAATATTGGTCATCTTGCACCTGTAGCTTTCTACATTTTTCGGGCAGAATGCAGAGGTCTATATTCTATAGTAGTTAGGTTATATCCCATATTGGCATGAATTGAGAAAAGACCAATTACGAGTCCAAATTGGGGACCAAAGTGCCAAAAATGGAACTAAACTTGTACTAACAATTTTTATGGGTTTTATAAAATTGTATTACAACTCTAGCTCTAGCGGTGCCTTGCTTGCTGATGGTCAAGAACAAATCGAAACAATGCTTATCTGATAAGTTTAGTGCACCACTTTGACAGAAACACTGATCACCAATATTGACCAATTCATTCAAAGTATGTTTTTTTGGTGGAGTCGCAATACGGTAAAATCCAAAACACACACAGGAGAGAGAGAGAGAGAGAGAGAGATTATGACATGAATATGATGATGGCGTGGGCAGGTTCCACCACCAATTTATCATTTGAGTTTTGTTTGAGTCCTAAAAAACATTGAATTTTTCCAACGTGTGAAACAGTAGCCACAGCAAGCGCAATAGGAGGGAAGGGAGGGAGGGCTTTAGATTGTTAGAACACGAGCGGGAGGTGTTGAGGGAGAACCCAAATGATGACAAGAACCTAAACTAGTAGTGCTTTTATGATGTGTACCACCATCAACCATTGCTACCTTTTCCGTACAACTGCTGGCTGCTCCTGCTACTCCGTGATGTTCTTGTGATTAAGATTGGATTGTTGTTCTATTATGTTCGATGACTAGGATTGAATTGGATTATATTGCAACCGAGCACGCATTGGGATAACTAAGGCTAAAACTCGAATTGGAGAGTCCACTAACGTATGTGCTCAGGTTGAAGATTAGTCATATATATATATTCAAGGTTCAATTTGCGGAACCAAACCACAGCTGCACTAACTATATTGAACTAACTGATATCGTTCGTATCATCCCAAACCCAAACCCAACTACAAGCCACAAACAACAACATTCTATTATTCATGATGGTTCATGAGACTGAGTGAGACAAAAAGTGCATAACCCACTGAGCCTCAACCTTAAGCAAGTCTAGCTAGCCAAGACTTTAAAGTGGCAGACTTTGAGTTTGAGACTTCTTCTCATCCTACTACCTTGAGAGAAAAAGACTCTAATGTTTTTTTTCTGCTTTTGGAGCTCCAAGCTTGAAGCTTCCTTTCAAGTTCTGATTTTCAAAAGTAGGCAGTTTTAAGGTTTGTGATTTGAAGTGGCGGCAGCACCATTCAAAATTTTCAGAAGTCATCGAAACGACTAGACCCGCTGCTAGGCCAAATCTTAGGCTGCCAACTTATGCCATGATATGCTCAGATACGCAGCATTGTGGTCTCTGACCATAATTTTCAGGTTGACGGTTTTTAACTTTCTACCCCCTCTGCCATACATTTGATATTGGTTCTTCTTCTTCTTCTATGATAGTCGGAAGAACAACCACCAATGTCTTCTCTGTTTCATAGCATACAAATTGTAATGAATAGCCCCATCGAATATATTATTTCGTATAGAAGTAGGGTTTACAGTTTAGAAACAATCGTGGTGGGAACAAATTGAAACATACATACATGATTGAATATGACTTTCCTAAGCATCTGTACAGTTGAGAATATATTGCAGCATAAAAAATTTAGAACCACCCACCTATCAAAAGAAAATAAAAAATCAGACTTCAATGCAATCATCATCATCTTCATCCGTTCCATCATCCCAGTCCAAATCGAATGAACTAGCTGATTTCATCAACTCCGTCAGTCCAGTTAGGTCCTCCAGATAGGTAGGGTGGTTGATTGCTTGCAGTATAAATTCCATTCCCCTTTTCCGATATTCAGACACCACCTGAATGAAATATTCATTTTGCAATTATTTATTTGAAATTATAGTTATATACAAGACATTGCTAAAAGGAATGCATAAGGAGTAAACTACAAAGAGAATCTAGCAGATTATCACCATTTTCATTCCCATCAAGCTTCCTCATAATTTTTTCCTTTATTTAAAATTATTATACTTTTAAAACATGTTTTCTAATTATTCTACCCAAGGAAATCCTTATCTCAACTAATAAGTAGAATAATTAGAAAACATATTTTAAAAGTAGTTCTTTAGTTTTATAGACTTGACAAAGTAGAATGAGACGCCTGCTACTGGTTTTGTAATTTCATTTTATATTTGCTACAATTATGAATAAAAATAACACCCCTCATATAATATTTGATAGAAATGAACATATTAATGCTTGCGTATCAAAATGTCAGGATGCAGGCCCCTATAATTACTAATTCAGTTGTGACTTTCTCATCCAATAATACTACTTATTCATTGAACCATATGAACTGTTTATTCCCTGAATAGCATAAAGAACTAATAGCTCAAACAGTTTAAGAACAAGCTGTGACTTTCTCAGGGTACCGCCATGGAAAAAGTCAACAAGCAAGGGAACACTTACAGTGCTGCAACAAGCCGTACAACTGTCTGAGGAGTGGCCCACAAGTGTCATCTGTGAAAACTGCGCGAGGGAACCTCGAATTTGATGGGGTAAAATACCAAGAGGCTGCTCACTGCTTTCACTATTACTGGAGTTTAAAACATCACCTTCCGCAAATATCCTGAACACGAGCAGTTTAATACCGAAATCTCAGGTCAACCATTGAAAAAAACAAAAAACTGAAGTGGAATTTCTATTTAGCTATTAACCATGAAAACTAAACACATTGGAACCCTCATAAATCTAATAAATAATCAGGCCCTTTTCAAAAATTTCCAACCACTTACCCGTGAGGGTGATGTAGGATTCCTACTAAGAGCTCAACTGCAAGAGCTGAGGCAATAGGAGCAAGGCCTGGGCGTGTAACAGTACATTGCTGGTCCAGTGTGCGGTTTGAAGTTGACTGCACAGAGAACAAAAGGTTTATGGCTGTACTTGACATACATTGAACAGCTAAAATATCATATCTATTGCATTCTAGAAAATTACATCAATAGGCGCAACCACATCATTGCAGAAGTAACAACCCAATCTCTTCCCTCCATCTCTATCAGTCAGGCCAAGGTTGCTCATATCAGCAGATAAAGAATTTGCAGCTTCAGCTTTTGAGTCATGGCTAGAGCTAAAAGGACCTGCTCCATGGCGCATAACCAAGAAGCTATCAAATCCTAAAGCTGCAGTTATAGTAATCTGCAAACAAATAAACAAAAGTTATTTTTTATTGGACAACATGAATGCCAATTCGATAAAGATACCTAATCCAAATATCCTATATGCTTGAATCAGGTAAGTAGATTGTCTTAACGTAGATGTGACTCACATTTAGATGTGAGAATATAGTGCCACATTATACCACAGTGAATTTTTTTTTAAAGATTAAGTCAACAGACCTTGTTAGTATTTGCACAAAGAAGAGATGGTAGCCACCGACTTTCTCTTGTATCAGTCAACAAGAAAACTACATCATGAGAATCAATTAAATCATGTAGGGATCGACAATCATCAAGCACAGTCTGCTCTTCTTGACTAGGAACAGGATGTCCAGGCATTGGTATAGACATGACAACACCCTTTGCTTCCTGATAAAAGAAAGAGATGGATGAACAATATAAGAAAATCAACAAATTTTTGGCTTAACCCATGTGTTTTAGAGGACAAACAGATGAAATTAATTACCACAGCTGGAAATATTCTCTTGAGACTATTAACTGCTGCTGTAGCTTTAAACTCACCACCATTTAGGCAATCATCTAATGTATACAGGGATTGCCTCAATGGATTTGACATAGCCACCCTGCCATTGTCAACCAACGTAATTCTGCGGACACCCCAAGCCTGTAAAATTCATAATCTTCAGTCACCCAAATAGATAGAATAGAACCAGATTTTTTTTGAAAGTTTGGAGCACTCACCATAAGCGTGCGAGCAACCTGGCATCCAAGTGTACCTGCTCCAAGGAGGAGACACTTGAGAGAAGACAAGCTATTTAAGTTCAGCGAAGGCAAAGCACGCCATCTCATTAGTTTCAAATTCAAATCTGCAGCAGATATGGCCAGCCTGTACAAGTTATCATAAGACACCGAGATGACAAAGGACAACTAACATTATCGACTACAGAGAGCCAATACAAACGACATACCTAGTTGGATCCATAGATTTAGCCAGGCTAATACCCCTGGGTATTTTTCTCCCTTTGTTAAGTTCCCACCCCACTGCATTAGGTACATAAGGATGATCTCTCCATCCTAAACAGATATAAAAATCCAAGTTAGAGTACCTAAAAATGCAAGCATATTCAAACTGTAGAAGAAAGAAACTTAATAAAAAATAAGCTGTTACCCAATTTCTGCAGCTCTACCTTTTGGAACTGTAATCAGAGCTTCACCAACAAGGGACAATCCCAGATCTGCGAAACCACGATTCTCTCTATAGCATAAAAAGTGAACAGACTTTATATCCCATCTTGAGCAAATAAGTGCAAGGAAGTTGCGAAGAGGCCAACCAGGATTGTTTGGAAGATGGCATGGATCGTAAAAGCCAAATAGTAACTGCAATGGCATGCAAAGTAGCTCTAAGGAAGTTGAACCCCAAAATCTAATATCTAAATTCATTCCAGTTTCCCATCACCTAAATGATTAGCTATAGTTTGAAAGAAAAAGTTTGGAGACAGACCTTGTGACCATCAGCACTTTGGCAGGTTTCCCAATCCTTTAGATGCTTAATAGTAGCGTGTGAATTTGTATCAATTTGAACCAAAAAGAACGGCACATCTGAATCAGATAACTTAGGTTAGAAAGGAACACTAAGCAAGTGTAAACTATGCATGCCTATATATAAACCATAAGCCACCGAAATCACAAGCTTGCATCTGAACATATGAGCACATAAGATGTTTCTACAGACAATCCATAAAATAACACAGGAGACATTATATACCTGCTGTTAAGCTTGAGTTACGCCACTCATTAAATGCTGCTGAAAGAGATTCCGCCTAATACATATGAAATTAGTGTTGAAGTTAGGGATGAAATCTAAATGCCTTGCCACTGTGCATCCAATAAGAAAAATATCGTACATACCTCCTCCAAGCTAAAACATTGTGAAGCTGGCCTCAAATCAACCAAGGTTGCTGGAGGATCAAGCACCAGAGCAGGAAAAGCAAACCAGTAATGAAAGCTCCATTTTTTCAGGTCTGCAAAAGAGATAAGGAGGAACCTGGAAAGTACGGAACTGTCCTCCAAAGCTCTTCCATTATGGATGTCCTCCCAAATCTGATTACAGAAAAGAAGCAAGACATAACATGGATCATTTTAAATTCACTTTTAGCAATCAGATTCATCTACCTACACGATATTTCAACTGAATCATATAGTTTACTGTCATTCAAAGATGTAATACTTTCATCCAAAAAATTAAACAAATTTAGAAACTAAATCCATTTGAAGGTGATACCTTTTGTGCTTCTGCCTTAAGTAAGCCCTGTTTGTCAAGTCCATGAAACCTTTCTACCGTATTGGTGTTGTAAAGGATGCCAGGGACGGAGCATCTGTTCCTATTCCCTCGACTTATTACTGGTACCTCTGATTCTTCACTTGAATCCAAAGGCAAAGACTCAGCTAGAAGAGTTAAATGATTTGATACTTGAGAATGTGAGCACGGTGCATAGAAACCTGGAGCAGGGTCGGTCCATATCTCAGATTATAGAGAAATTTACATTTGGATAATAGAATTTAAGAACATTGTATAGCATTCATCTCTGAACTAAAGCTTTGTTTTTTTAGTTAGTTTCATGAGTTACTATTTTTGCTAGTGCTCAATATGACACAAGAATTTAAAACTTGTGCTGCTTTTTCCTGCTTCCTCAAATTTACCCAGCAAAAGAAAAAGTCGATTTTTTTTTTTTTCCCTCATAGTCCAAATGCTTGATCATTGAGCACCTAAAACAGTACAAATCACCAATTTTTACAAAACAAAAGAACTCAGACACTACACAGCATATTTTAACAAGAATATAGAAAAGGAATTTCCAAAAATCACGATCTGATATAGCTGAAATTTTCTTTCTTTTCTTGTTTCCAGAAATTTCATAATCTGATTAGAGAAAAACAATGAAAGGAAGCGAACCAGTGATGGGAATGGGAGAGTCATCGATGCCAAACTTGTTGAGCTTCAATGAAGACAGTCTGTGCCAGAAACCCTCGTCCACCGAGCTCTGAAACGGTGCGAATTGAAGTATGGATTTGCCACTGCTCCCCTCCATGATTTTTCTACTGCGATTAGCTGCTTGCCCTCTTCTTCTTCTTCTTGTTCCTCTTTTTTTCTTTTCTTGTTTTTGAAGGTTTGTGAAAATTAAATAAACAGTAAAAAAGTCACCAGGAAATTGTCAGAGACAGTTCAAGTACAAAAAGGAGATACCTCGGCTGTGTTGTTGTGTTGTGTTGGCGAGAGGAGATTGTTTTCTCTACGGTTGCCTTCCCCCTCCTTTCTTTCAAGGCTTTACGGGTAGTTTCTAATGAAATTGCGCCAACTCAGCACTTGGGACCCACTGCATAGTCATATGGGCTTTTAGTTAACAAAACTTCCATTCACACCCCCCGTTCTACAAAACACACCCAGTCCCATCCAAGTTTTGTTCTGAGAGCATCCACAATGGGGAGTGTATTTTCGAGAGTGTAAATGCATTTTTACATTTTCGGGAGGTGTAAATACGTTTTTTGCTCTAATGGAAAATGATGTAAAGTCACTTTTAGAGCAACTCCACCAGTGAGCTGAGCCTAAGGCTAGGGGGGAGAGGGGGAAATGACGTTCCAACGAGGAGCTCAAGCTCGGGTTGGGAGTGGGACCCACGAAGACGGGCTGACCCTCAAGCCAGTTCAGCCCGAGCTCAAGCTCGAGGGTTGGGCTGATGTCATTGTTGACGCCAGGCTGGCGTCAACCCACTCATTGTTTTTTCTGTTGCCACGTGGCGTCATTTGGGCTCTCTGATCAGATTTTTTTCTCCAATCCAACGACAGCTAATTTTTTTTGCAATAAAATACTGGAAAAAATTCAGAAATTTTTTTAAAAAATTCCCAAAAATTTCTATAAATACCAGCCATTTTTTTTTATAAAATTTATCTGAAATTTGAAATTGAAATTTTTATCCGATTATGAGATATGAATAGTATTGACAAGTAGGAACCCGAAAATATTATCCAAATTAATTATTGAAAAAATGAATAGTAATTTGTGAAAAAAAACAAAAAAATGAATAGTAATTGCCTTTGCCATGACAACGAGTAGAAACAGAAATGACTTTTTGCAAGGGCAACTACTATTCACATGAATAGTGGCTGCCCTAGCCCCCCATTTGCCATCGCAAAGGGCAAATGGGTGAAGTTGCTCTTACATCCCCTTTTCTTCATTTTTCCTCTCTTTTTTCAAGTGGGTCCTGCCTGCAAAAGATGTAAAAATATATGCAAATGTGCATTTTATTTTACATCTCCATGGTGGTGATGTATGGAGATGTATATTTACAATCATTTACATCTCATTGGAGATTATTCCGGTGACAAAATGTGTATATTTAACATACACCCTCTTATACACCCTCCCATTGTGGATGCTCTGATGACAGACTTAAGATGCCCCAAGGTTCCTTTTTTGGTCTTTTCAAATATTTGCTTCCAAATCATTTGTAACTTCGGTTACGTGTTTTTTAAAATATAAATATAATATAGGACATCGAAATAATGGGAGTCTAATTTTCCATGAAATTCACAATTACATACATATTTTACATACAACCAGTATTGTCTTTCCTTAGTATATAGTTCATACTTTATTGGGGGTTTTGTAATACAATGTATACATGAAGATCTCACAAATACTTTATCTTCCGCACATCCGTGTCTAAAGATACGAATACAGAATCCATATTACAATACAATATGCACATCTTCATCACCGCCAACACAAACACAATCTTGCTCTCATGAGGATGAGCTCGAGGTATCGAAGTAAGAGACCCTCCGCCTTTTGCTCGGCAGCGTTGTTCTCGGGGAGTATTCTGGTGAGGCAGAAGCCTTATCAAGGACAGAACTCAGGGCCTGGTGAACAGAACTTGCAAGAAATTGGAATGCATCAGCATCAGCATCATTGCTTCTCTCTTTGCAGCTGGTGAAAACAAACACATTTTTCACTCGGTTTCCCAAGGTTGCTATATCTGCCTTCACCATTTTCAAGTGAAGGGAATCGAGAGCTTCTCTTAGGTCAGAGAGAAGCTCAGATCGGTATTCACAGCAGACGGATGCTCTCACAGATATGGTTCCATCCCCTGCCCCAGTGTCATAGGGTTCAACTTGCACTTCATCAGCATCAACGGGAATGAGAAATCCCTTACTAGATTCGAGGGCATCCTTCTTCAGTTCTTTCACCTGGCTGATAACTGTAGCAAGTAATGCAGCTTTGTCCATCTATAAGCAGCAATTAGGTCAAGGTTAAAGACTTAAATCAGTTGCCATCAACAGCCAACACCATAGCTTCTCCAATATGCTTACATATACATGCACACACAAATACATGATGCATATATAATATACATATTAAGGGTCATTCACAACAAGTCAAGGCCAATCTATTGGCTGGTAAGGTTACTAACATCAGCATGATGTCTTCTTTGTCAATAGCATAAACCCAGTTAACTTAGTCATTATACAAATTGGGGGCCCTCCCAATTTGGAGGCCCTAGGCGGCCGCCTAGCCCGCCTGTTCCCAGGGCCTCCCCTGCTACCTAACAATTTCAATACAAGCTTCCACATACTTCCAAGCTCACCTAGGTAGACTTAATATTTAAGAAATAGTAGCATGAGAAAAACCTTGCTCATAAGTTATCAGAGGATAGACTTAGCCCACGAAATACAGAGCTAGTCATCCAACTTGCTTCGACTTGGAAAGCGGGGTAGATGACACATTAAGGAAAGAAATGTGTGATTAAAAAAATTATTTTTATTAAAAGATACTCTCTGAAGCTTGAACATAAAAAATTTAGTAGTTAGCCCCATACATATTTTCTTGCTTACCGCCCCAAACATGATATAATATCTTAATTGAACGGTTGAGCAAGACACATCTAAGCCATAAATTATAGTCCTGATGTAGACCTTATGTTGGCATCTACTACACAGCTGGCGCTGTACCCCATCATCCAATCATAATCATTAGTACTTCCCAAAACACATAGAATGGTCTGCTAAAGACTGAAGCTATTGACAGCAAAGCATCCCATATATATACTTAGTGTTAAACAACCACAGACTTATAAAATTAATAAATAAGATGAAGTTCCCATGAAACACTGTTCAGCTTACTTAATTATAATATGTTCTAGGTGCATTTGACTTGGTAGATTTATAAGCTAAAGTCAGAGTTTCTCTGCCAACAAAAAACCATTTCTACGTTTCTTTCCAACATAGTGCGTAGTGTGCTGTACCTAACAGGTTGAAAATCCACCCCACCCCATCCCACCCACCCCTAATGCTTGATTTCTTAATTTAATTGAAAAAATACAAATCCAAAGTGCACCTAGACATTTACAGCAGATTCATTTTACAGATGGTTTTGAAGCTCTGAGTATTTTAGATGTTTACCTTTTCAAATAATTTAACATATCCATGAGTTGAGCAGATTCATTTTCCAGATGTTTTTGAAGCTCTCTAAGTATGGAAGAAGTTTACTTTTCAAATTATTTAACATATCTAGAGTTGACTTTTGTAACTTCCATACCAGAGTTGACTCTCCAAAGGCACAAATAATGTAATGAAAACCTTTGTTAATTTGAATGATGTGCACTAAAGCACGAATGATCTTCTCTTTCATGATTTCATAACTCAGATAATGACAGCATATCACTAGAAGGGGTATTTCATATTGATCACCTTAAGCTTCTTGGAGCAAAATTGAATACAGGATCCATAAAAATACATTAGAACAAGATTCCTGATAGAGAAAAGCTTCATTAGAGTTCAGAATCTTTGTATTCAATTCAATAACTCTTCAACAGAATTCTCATAGCACCCCAAATATTTGTTTAAACATGTTCGCTTTTTGGCACAGAAAACAATGACTGTTAAAAGCAAAACACTCTCAGCTCTGCCCGGTTGTCATATTCTGATCAACCCCTTGTTGCCACAAAAAGGGAAGAAAAAACTTATCATATTTAAGCCAAAAGTTTCATATTTGAAATATTTGGTCAATTAGGCCAAATAGATGTTCGAAGTTAATCTTAAATTGATCTGTACAATTCTATTTTCACTTATGGTCTGATTAAAGAATCTAAGTTTCATATGGTAGGTTACTACTTTACAGTCAGCAAAAAGATGTCGAATAACTTTTCGATAAAGAACTTCAAATTTAAGGTAAGACCAATTTCTTACTGGTAATGTTTTCCAATGACTAGTATCTAATAACCAGTTAAAACTTAATAAGCTTTAACAACAATCCAACAATCTCAAGTATAATCAACCAGTATGATTGAAACTACATGAAAATTATACTTTACCTTTTCAGTGCAGGGCACGAGACCACGAAGCGTAGAGAGATGTGCATTAATTCTCTCTCTTCTCCTCCTCTCAGCCTCACTGTGATTCTTCAAAGCCGCCAAGGCCTTTGCCTCTGATACCCCTTTCTTTCCCACTCTCGCTGGAGCCTTAACAAGCTCACCTTTCTCACCATCCAAAACCAGAGAGTGAGGCAAAACAGACCCACCTCCTCGCAGAGCCCCACCAAACCCACTTGAGCCATGCGTAAAAGGGTCGAAGAGGCTCGAGTATTCAGACCTAAATGAAGAGTTGGAGTTAAAACTGTAAAAAGCCATATGGGTTTTCTAAGTCTTTCGATACACAAACCTATGAACCAAAGCTGGAGAAGAGCAGACCAGGAGGGCGAGTAGTTGGGGCAAACCAAAAAGAGAGCTTTGGGAAAGGGAAGCTTTGAGAACCAGCTTTGTTGCTTAGCAAGGTGTTGATTATGGTGGCTGTGGTGGTGGCAGTGACACTTCTTGTGGGTTTGGTCATACCTTCCATTACGCAAAAGACAAGCTTTGGGGGTTTGGAGGAGGTGATCAATGAGAAAACATCCACATTTTCTTCTTCATGGTCTCGAAGTCGAGGATTTCAAAAAGGCGAAAAGCAGAGTGAAATAGAGGGTTTTGGGAACTGGGTTCCCGGGAAAGAGATTTATAATAACGTGAAAGGTGAAAACTTTGTTGGGTTTTCGATGCAGATGAAGAAGAAAGGCAGACAGAGAGTCAAAGGCTACTGGTTCACGGAGAGCAAATGTTAGGAAGAAGACGTCTTTTTAAGGAGCAGAGAAGGGATGAGAACAAATGTTTTGTGGAGTTTGAGACGGAGGAGTAACCAAGTCCCACCATATATATATTGCTAGCAACAATTTTTAATCCACTATCATATTGATAGCAATAATTTTTAACATATATAATACATAAAAAATACCAAACTTATTTCACTCATATACATACATGACAAAACATATTCCTCAAACATGTTATAAAATAGACAATTTCTTGAGATGAAAAAGTATACAAAATGAACGTTAACAAAATTACTTCGTATATTTTTGCGCATTGATATGGCTAAAACGACGTTGTTTCAATGTACGATTTATGTGATAAATAAAAATAAAATAAATGAAATTGTATAAGCTTTGATCATAAAGTATAAGTTTAACTCGAATTTTTCAAATTCGCTTAATCTACTTAGGGTGAAAAATGTAGCAATTTCCATGCCAAATACCTCTTCATGTGGCAAACTTCATCACAGCCAGCCACATTAATTCATTCATGTGGGGATTAGATCCACGTGGGGGTGATGTTCATTAAAGGAAAAATAATTTTAAAAAAATTAAGAATGATTTACAAAAACATAACGCCATAATTCAACATTTAACTATAATAAGTTTCTGGGGCATGTTTTTCTTTTTTGGTCAACGAGGTTATGCTGTTAAGACTTAAAATACAGAATATTGCCATTATTGTCTTTAGGAAGGTTAAGATATTCAAGGTTGGCCGCTCATCAACAAAACGTAAAAGAAAATATAAGCGATAACATGTCATGTTAAAACGAGTTTATTTATGAAAACCTATATACCGCGCAACGTCAATTTACTATTTTTTTTAATTTGCATAAACTCCTTTTTCCTTTTGGCAAGCTCAAAAGTCCACATATACGAAAGGGCCAATATTGAGTTGCCTTCAACAACTTGCCCTTCAAAACACACATCAGATTCCGGCCATAAAATAAATAAACAAACACAAAAGCAAAAACCGAAACTTTGCTACAGAAAATGCTAATGATATAATATATTTGGAAGACTTTCTTTAAAGAGGATATGAGGGTCTTGCCTTGTCATCGGTGGTCCTTCCATACTTTCCACATCAGCCCTCTGTCACGTAAAAGTCCCAGTCATTTTTTTACTATTATTGTATTAACTTGGTGTTTGGATCTTTGCCTAGATTCAACTGATTGAAGAAACTACTAGATTAAATACAAATTTAATATTTATTTTTTAAAATATTCATTTCTATTTGGGGTTTTATGGGTTTTGTTTCTCAAAGATTTGGCCTTACGTGCTTGTGTTCTTTGAATACTTTTGGCCGATTTTTCATTCAATAAACCATGATTTCATTTTCTTATTGAAAAAAATAAATAAAGAAAGAAAGATGCGGTGCACGTTTTTGTCTGTCAAACAATTTTAATTTGTTTTATTTATTTATTTTTGAATGAAAACAACACATTGGTTCAGAATTTGTTTTAAATGTGCTCACCATTTTGGTTGAGTTTTATGCAGAGCAGCCAAAAATGTTTTTATTTATTCATGAAGTTGGTCTCTCACCGTGAGATGACATGTAACATCCTACAAAAATTCATTTTCGTTGACATAGAGCTTCTTGCATGTCATAGGCTTTGGTTGGTTGAGGTTGCATCCTGATATGAACATCCCACCAAATTTATTGTTAAAAAAAAAAAAAAAAAAAAAAAAAAAAAAAACCCACAAAAATAAAGTAAACTCTTACACCCAAAAATCCTAACATAAATTAATAAAGCAGTTCATTTAATGATTCTTTTATATTTATGACGATTCAGTATCCATTCAATAGCATTTGTCGAGAGTTAAAATTGCGAGAGAAAAATTGCGAGAAAATGAATATAGGTCAGTTGACTAGTACAGTGTGTCAGCCTCTTACAACAAAGAATGATTTAGAATATCACCCTAAAAATGATGAAAATAAACTGCAAATTTATTGTGAATTATGGGGTGATAATGATATATATAATTGTTGCTTGCATGTCAATCTAGAACAATACTAAAAATGAGCTATACTCCACTCAACATTCATGGTTTTACACACAAACATTCATGGTTGCATGGGAGTTTAGAACCTATGGGCACACCCACAGAGTGAGCTATACTCCACTCACAAAGATACTCTGTTTTTGTTTGGTTTTTTGGGTGAAAAAAGATACTCTGTTTTTTGTCAGAATGGAAAAATATATTTTATTTTTTGGCCTTAAAAAAGGAAAAAGATTTGATGGGAAGAGATTTCCCCAAAAAAAACGGAAAGAAAAGAAAAGAGAAGGTGCGGTAGGAAAGACGCGGGAATATGGCGGACAGTTGGTTGGGCCCATGTCCCTCTCGCTCTCCCTCTCTGATTCTCACTCTCAGTTTCCCCCAATTTCCTTGGAGATCTCATTCCATGTCTACCCTTCGCTCCCAAAACCCTAAACATTTCCGTTGCTACTCCTTCTCCTCCATCCCTAACCCTAGCCCTGTCATGCCTTCCTTGCTCGTCTTTTCAGGTCCCTCTCCGCCACGTTAATCAACAAATGCAATAGAAAATTTCAGGAAAAGGAAACAAAGCTCACCTCTTCTCGTTTCGTAATTGCAGGTGGGACTGCGTTCAACGGCGTCGTTGAGGAGCTCAAGAATTTCACTACTCGCGTAGCTCACGTCCTTCCTGTTTCCGACGATGGAGGAAGTACGGCTGAGATCGTTCGTGTTCTCGGTAATTAACTTCTCTCTTCCTTTTCAATTTCTTCGCATCTGGTTTTTTTTTTTCTCATTGCTCGTGGTTGTGTATTAGGTGGTCCTGCTGTCGGAGATATACGGTCCAGATGTTTGAGATTGGCTGATAAGAGCTCTTCTGAGGCTGTGGCAGTCCGGAGATTGCTTGGTCACCGTTTACCTCTTGATTCGCGTCAAGCCAAATCTGAATGGTAATGTTTTGCTACCAGTTTTTTTGTTGCTTTTACTACTATTTATGGAAATTCTATAGCAGTGTTCTGCATTAGAACTGATGTTAGGCAAAAATGTTGAGCAAATAGTGAAGTATGATGATGTTTATGGACATTTCTTCTGATTTTCAACAATGTATATAGTTGGGGTCCTGCCTACTTTCTTTTGTATTTGTCATTTCTAGGTGGTATGTTATTCTATATCCTAAATTATTCTCATTTACGTGCTAGGTGTTACTATGGTGGGGTATTGAGTAACAGTCTGCTGAGTTGAGAATTTGACAGGTATGATATTGTGGAAGGAGAACATTCGCTATGGATGGGAGTATCAAAACCCTACAGGGAAACCATTCGAGCTTTTCTAGTTTATTTTCAGAATCAGGTTAGTAATCGGGTTGGCAATGCTATATTGCCTCTATTAATTTGATTTATATGTGTTCTGATTTCGAACTGCTGTTGAACTCTTCTGAACTTCTTCAATTGCCTTTTTCAAATGCAGATACTCCGGCGATCTGATGAATCATTTTGCTTCAGTAATGGCAGGTGTGAAATCTTCACAATAGCTATGACTTGGTGTATTTCTGTGTTGTTTCATTATGGTGCTTAATTGAAATTCAGTAATCCACTTTCTTTAACTAAGAAATTTTTGAAAGATGCACTACAATAATATATCTTTCATGATTGGATTCACTATGTGATAATATTATTTCTTTGCTTAACTGATTTCATAATTTCTGCAGCATTGGGAATTTCTTCTTTGCAGGAGCACGCACATTTTTTCAGTCCTTAGATGCTGCAATATTTTTGTTTTCCCGTGTGTCAGATATCCCCTCAGAGAGTCTGGTCCTCCCAGTGATTTCTACTAACGACAGGCTTACATTAGGATGTGAATTATGGGTATGATTGTTGACATACAACTCATGTGCCCTGAGATATGCATGCATATACTTTATACTATGGTATTGGTTTACTAATTGACCTGGTGCAACGCAAGATACGTGTGTACTTTCAAACCATAGTTGAAATTGCATTGTATGTTTAATTTAAGGTCTGGCTAAGAGACTTTACCAACCATGCTACTGGCACCTTCTCATTTATGGAACTTGCAGAAGATATGCAACATAACAATTGTATGCTCCTTATGAAAATGATTCAAACCTTTTGTTGTATTCTTTTCTTTTTCCATCATCATCAATTCATGTAACAAGTAAAGTTTGCAAGATTCTGCCAATACTTGATTATGCTGAATTCCTTATTGTGCCCCCTAGGATGGAACTATAATACGAGGCCAGAACAAAATTTCTCATCCGACCAAGGGATATATGGAACCTGTCAATAAGGTATGCTGATATGGTTTTCTTGATCTGGAAGTCTCAATCTATAGGTTCTTTGTCAGAAGTATTCTGATAGTTCAAGTTTTTTCCTGAGAATACATGACATGGATTCTTCAGAATGTTTCATTCCTTATAAAAAAACATATGGGGGTTTTGAGAGATTCGATGATGTCAATGCGGTGGGTGCATGCTATGGTAGTAATGGTGTTGTTGGCGAGGTAATAGTGCATGTTTGATGAGAGAGAATTTGGTTGTCCAGAAACAGAAAATGATGTCACTACTATTAATTCAATTTCTTGGTATTGTTTTATAAAAGTCATTTACTAAAATCTTGATGGTGTTTCAATTCCACTTTGGGTTTCTGACCAACCATAGTTGATTGGGTTTGGGCGTTCTAATTGGTTCTTGTAATTTTACCCAGCCAAGATCTATTCACATTATCATCATATCGTGTTAAGACTGGGAAAGACATTTAAGGGCTGATTGATTTTTGCATTTTACTCAAATTCTAGAGGCAGGATCATAGTAAAGAACTTCTCATTTATTGAAAGTGATGACTTACTGTGGACAGGAAAGCTCTTCATTTCCAGCACTTCCTTCGAGCATAAAGCGGGTATTCTACATGTCAAGTGAGGGCCAAAACTTGCTGCATGAGGTGAATGATACTTCATATATTTTTCTTTTCTTTTCAGTTTCATGTAATGCCCTAAAGTTTTCCTTGTTGATTTTATTGGTATACTTAAATAAAGGGCCAATAATGGAGTCTTTTGTTAAATCTTTATCCTTTTTCTGATATTGCAAGGTTTTTAACATTATAAAATTTTATCAGGCGCTACCCTTAAAATTTTAATTTTCTCATCTTATGAAAAAAATACTGGTATGTGGCTCCCATTTTTCTAATGATTAAAATGCTTCCATATTCCATGCATATGCTTCTGCAGTTCCTGAAATCAGAACTCATAACAATGGTTTTCACAATGATTAGGTCTTCCCTGCTGCAAACCCATCTGTCTTGGGTCAGTTACGTAATGTGGATTGCGTAGTTTATGCTATGGGATCCCTCTTTACTTCTATTTGCCCATCACTGGTAACATTACTTCCCATATTAAATATGCTGCATTTTCTTATTTATTTTACTAGAATTTGCTTCTTCTTTTTTCAGAAGATTCTAGAGCCCAGCTGATAATTCTTGATTGGACATGTGAGAAACCTGTATATTCATATTTTTAATTTGTTATGCCTCATTGTTTAGGTATTAATTGGCATTGGGGAGATTATATCTTCAAGGTCCTGCCCCAAGGTACCTATTCATCACTCTTAAGTTACATGTTACATGATACAAGTTCCAATCGTACAAGTCTTCATATTGTTTCTTCTTTGACTGTTGCAAAGTTTTCTGACGTACCCCAGGGTCATCTTATAGATAGACATTAACAAATGCATTATTTATTTTCCATGTCAAATTACATGTTGAGTTGATTCAGTTTGTCCTGATACTAGGTGCTTTTGTTAAATGGTACACGTGACCGAGAGACCAGTGGCTTTTCAGCTTCTTGCTTTGTAACTGCTATCACAGATGCATTAAATCGAACATATGGAAATCCTCATAACTGTCTTGCAAACCTTGTAAGTTAGTCAGTGCAGTTACAGATGGTTGTTTTCTATTATTGTTAATGTCACATCTCTGGTGGCAAACATGGTTTTTTAAAAGTATTTTTCTTTTTTTGGGGAGGAGGGGGTTCTTTTTGTTGGTGCTCGTTAAAGAAAAAGAAAGCTTCCTTTTGTTTTATGTATAAACATGTAATTTATTACAAATTTGTAATTCAATGCAGCCCAGCCAATACATCAATACCGTATTAGTGCCCAAAGGTGGTGAGATTCCTATAGATGTTCAACGCTTGGCTGCCAAAGGAATCTTTAACGTGGTATGTATAGTTTTAACTCCACTTTCAACAGAGTCCAAATGCTTTCTGTTACTTATAATAAACTAAAGAAATATATGTTGAATTTTGAATGGAATTATAAAGGTTTACGTTTACTATGATGAATATCTATTCTTGGATATTTTTCATGAACCTAGACTAGGATATTCAAGTTCTTATGGAGAGTAATTTGGCACTTTTGATTAAAGCCCTTGTTATAAAATATAATGCTTCTAGTGTCATGTCATCATAATGGCTAAGTTGAGTGCTTTGTCCTATCAATTTCCTGTTTTTAGTGTGCTTGATGGCCACAAATATCTTTCTTTCCTTTGTTACCTGGATATTAAAGCTCTGACGAGAGTGAGTTTCTGCAGATCGTTGTTGATTCTATACATGATCCAAAAGCTGGTGTAGTATTTGACCCGAAGTCGTTAATACAAGCCCTTGTTGACGTGATAGGCAGATACACGAGTACAAATCTTACGGCGGTAGTCTAATGACAGTGAAAAAAGGAGCAAGCATGGTAATTTTCATGTGGCTGTTCATTAGTTTCATTATTCATGAGGTACAAGTTCAACAGCAAATCAATCTTTTTACAGCAGCTCTCCATATCAAGTACTAGTTCATGTTTCCGGAGATTTTGCTGCAATTACGTGACTAATGTTAAAATTTGACTATGTTTGATTTCAGGAACACTTTCTGGCTTATTTTGACTTGAGGTGATCTTCAGTTCAAGGATGTAGATGGGAAGTTGTTTGTGTTATTTGAAGGTTGAAACCCTAATTCAATTGAATTGCAGCAGTTTATATGCCCACTTAGAATCAGAGACGGTGACACCTCTCGCAAGGTGCTTTCCAGTTATGTACAGAATTGACTTAGATAGTCGTGACAGTGTCACTGCATTTTTGGGCATGGAACTTTATTATGTATTCAATGATTTGTGTGTGTATATATACATGTCTTTTGTACGTCAATACCATTGTTCGTTAAGGCCCATGTACGAGGGTTAGCAATTTGAATATTTCTTTATGTGCTCGTTCTTTCTTTTTTTGGGTAAAGAAAATGAGAAATTAATCCTTAGACAATTCTCCAAAACCTAGTTGTCATTTCATAATTAAACGAGTGTTGATTTTCGTAGGAGTGAATTGTGTTTAATATGGCTGTCTATTAAGGCCCAAGTATAATGTCGTTGAAGGCTCAAGAACGTTGATGTATGTAGAGCCCTGCAGTTCTTTGAACAAATAATGGATAACACTATGTTTATTTAGCTTTTCAGGGGACATAAATTGCCTAATTGGCTTCTCTTTTTGTTTTTGGTCATTTCCATGTAAAGGGTACGGAGAAAAAGGGATGCAAGGTGTACACACACGCATTAGATTTCAGGTTCAGCAACCAAAACGAAACACTAATTTATGCTTAGACTAACGACTTCCAAGACTATCTCAGCATAGTGAAACAGTACTAGTAGATAATCATCTTCAGTCCTAATCAACCGCAGAAGAAAACTTCGCTCGCTAACGTGGCAACATATCCGGAATGCAACCTGGTTGCCAAAGCCACCACAGATTGCCGGATCGAGATCCCGAGATCTTCTATATATACTTAGATCTCTTGAGGGATAAAATGCGTCTGCTAGATATATACTACATGATTGTTTCTATAAGCATAAGCATAAACAAAATTCATTTCACACAAATCCTAAACCAGTAAATAATGGATTTCACACTTAGAAAGTCATCATCTATTCTACTGACACTTTTAGTCCTGGAGGTGTGGGCTTCCCAAGCCAACTGCCGCACATTGCTTGATGCTCATACTTCCATGTTAGATAGACATGAGCAGTGGATGGCTCGATATGGACGCATCTACAAAGACGATGAAGAGAGGGAAAAGCGTTTCCAGATATTCAAGGACAATGTGGAGTTCATAGAGTCCTTCAACTATGCTAGCAATCAGCCTTACAAGCTAAACATCAATGGATTTGCAGACCAGAGTCATGAAGAATTCCAAGCCTCTCGCAACCGATACAGAACATCCCTCAATCCCATGTCATCTAAGACACCTTATAGATATGAGAACGTGACTGCAATCCCATCCAGCATGGATTGGAGAAAAAAGGGAGCTGTCACCCCCATCAAGGACCAGGGTGAATGTGGTAATTATCCAAAATCACTAATACCCTCATCCTAATTTTTGTTTTCAACTATGTGGTTCGCATTAATCTTTTCTAACTCGGGCTTGTATTGTGATATGGTATATAGGATGCTGTTGGGCATTTTCTGCAGTGGCAGCCACAGAAGGCACTACAAAGCTGAAAAGTGGGAAGCTTGTGTCTCTTTCGGAGCAAGAGCTAGTGGATTGTGACACTCAGGGTGAGAACCAAGGCTGTGAGGGTGGTCTCATGGATGATGCCTTTAAGTTTGTAATGCGCAACAAAGGCCTGGCAGCTGAAGCAAGCTACCCCTATAGAGGAGTTGATGGAATTTGCAACAAGAACAAGGTAGCATATCATGCAGCAAAGATCACAGGTTATGAAGATGTACCAGCCAATGAGTTGGCTTTGTTGAAGGCCGTGGCCAATCAACCTGTTTCTGTTGCAATTGACGCCAGTGGATACGACTTCCAGTTTTACTCACTTGGAATTCTCACAGGAGATTGTGGAACTCATTTGAACCATGGTGTCACTGTAGTTGGGTATGGGACAGGTGCTGATGGTACGAAGTATTGGTTAGTCAAAAACTCATGGGGTGCAGAGTGGGGTGAGGGTGGATATGTAAGAATTCAAAGAGATGTGCATACTAGGCAAGGCCTTTGTGGCATTGCCATGAAAGCTTCTTATCCTACTGCTTGAATTTCTATAGCAATTATTAGGAAATATTCAATCTTCATCTTGTGTGTTCTTATTGATCATGTAATTTCTTAGTATGTAGGTTTTGGAATTAATGATGGAACTTTGTTTCTTGAATTTTTAGGCAGTACATTAGTGCACTCGAACTACTAAATAGATCGGTACTGGTGAAATTGAGCCTTGCTTCTTCTTTTAGTTTATTTTAAAGAATCTAAAACACAGGCTGGCTAGCCACATGCGAATTTGCAAAGATGTTGATATGTGAGTTACCATCATATATATATGGCCAACAAGATCCCTGGTGTAAACCACAGAGCATGTATATGGTTGATGCCTATCTGTGCCTGCAGACCTTGTCATATCCTGCTCACTTGGCTATTTAGACTATATTGGTTTGTGCTTATCCATGTCTGTTAGCCTAATTGCTTAAAAGTGAATTTGATGCACTTTTTCTTTTTACAAAAATAGATCAGAGTGATATATATGTAAGTATGCGTATGCATCTTATATGCTAGCTAGGTATGACAAACTCTATACGAGAATTAATCGAGTTCTAATGGCCTAATATTGAAAATGTGTTTCATTTCATCACAGTGAAGCAGAAAATGAGTCGATCTGACTGAAGTTTTTATTGGTTTTTTTCAACATGCAGGTTCCTTTCCACATATATCCAAAGATATTCCTTAACAGTGAAGAACAAAGATGCTCATCATCTATATATATGGAAATTTTGATCTTGCTTCTTCACACCTAGTGATCATCAATCAGCTAATAACAATGGCTTTTACACTTGAATGGAAATTCATGATTTCCATGTTCATAGGGGTTTCGGGGACTTGGGCATCAAAAGCCGCATCCACCACGTTGGATGAAGCTTCAATGGCGATGAAATATGCAGAAAAGTAAAGGCGTTACAAGATATTCAAGGAAAATGTGGAATGCATCAAAAAGGAAGCGAATCACACTTACAAGTTAGGCCTCAACGAATTCTCAGACCTTACAGATGAAGAATTCACCATGTTTCATACTGGATACAAACCCATGAGCTCATTCAAAAATAGTTCTTTCTGGAACGAAAAACTGACTGATGTTCCACCAATCATTGACTGGAGGAACGAAGGAGCTGTCACCCCAATAAAATTCCAAGGTGTATGTGGTAAGATGAGCACCAAAATTCAAAGCTCCCTACCAAAACTAATTAGTTATATAACATGCACATGAACATTATTTTGTGATCATTAATTAGTTATATAACATGCACATGCACATGCACTCAAAGCTCCCTACACAAATCAAAACTGGTATAGCTTGATCTCACTGTCCAACAACTAGTGGACTGTTCCAAAAATGACGCCAACCAAGGTTGCGAAACTGGTAATGTGCTCGATGCCTTCGATTATATACAAACAGACGGTATCACCAGTGAAACAAGTTACCAATACATAGGAAATAATGAAACATGTGACATTGAGAAGAAAAATAACATTGCTGCCTGTATTGCGGGCTACTAATCTGTGCCATCTGACAGCGAGGAGGCACTGCGGAAGACTGTTTCGATGCAACTGGTCACAGCTGCGGTTGAAGGCAGAGGAATGACATTCCAACATTACTCCAAGTGGGGTCTTTTCTGGAGGTTGTGGGATCACTTGACCTTGGTGTTACAGTCGTTGGTTTTGGGGAAAATGAAGACGGCATTAAGTATTGGTGGGTCAAGAATTCATGGGGAGCGAAATGGGATGAGGGTGGCTACATGAGATTGCGCAAAGATGTTGGTTTTCCAGAAGGTCTTTGTGGCATTGCCATGTATGCTTCCTATCCAGTTGTATAACCCTCCCTTGGCATATGGCTGCATATGTATTGAGCAGCTTGAGTAATGGCATTGTAATCTAAACTTGGTAGTGGTATAATAAAGCTGCTGTTTTTCCATATTCAGTTCCACAATTGAGTAATAATGTTGGACAAAGCACACTAAGATTTTGTGCCTACATCCTCTTTGATGATCACCTCGAGAAATTTAACTAATAATAAGATTTTTTTGGGGCGCATACATTTTTGCATTAACAACCCAAAAAGTAATGGGTTAATTTAATTGTTTCGTATAATTGAAACTCAAGAACGAATAATATGGTCAGTACTTGTAGACGTGGGCCTTGTTGATTTTGAGCCTTAAAACTCTGGTCACTTAATTTTATTTGAAAAATGCTTTTGTAGAAAGTATATAGAATATTTGTTTAGGAAGCACTTCTGATGATAAATATTTTTATTATAAGCATATGTAAATTTTATTAAAAATTCAAGTGGAACTACTTTTATAGGCAATTAGCACCTTTATGAACAGGTGCCTGTCAATAGCGAAGAAGACCTACTCAAGGCTGTGTCCAGGCAGCCAGTCTCAATAGCCATCGATGGTTCCGGGGCGGAGTTTATGAATTACCAAAGTGGGGTCTTCTCGCCCACAGATTGTGGGACGACACTGACCCATGCTGTTACCGCCGTTGGGTACGGTACGACTGAGGACGGCACTAAGCATTGGTTACTCAAGAATCAATGGGGTGAGAGCTGGGGTGAAAATGGCTATATGAAAATTCTTAGGGATGCTGGTGCCCCAGAAGTTGTCTGTGGCCTTGCTCAGTATGCTTCCTATCCGACTGCATAATCTATATATATTTATATAGGCTATTATGGAATCCATATCGAAGTGAATGTATTATCAATGGCTGTGAAAATGCCTATATGGTTTAATTTTCTATATAATTCCTCTATTTTGATTTTTATATTTTTAAAATCACTTTTGGTTCCAATATTGCCCATTATCTTAGATTACTTACCTTAATGAGATAATTAGCCAATATTATATTTCTTTCCTTATCCAATTTACCCTTGAGCACATAAAACGTAAGAAATAATGAAGTTATTAATTGCAGCAAATTTTTATGGTGGTTTTATAATAAATTACTAAATTTATGGTAAGTAAAGCACCTAATTAGGAAGACTTTTTTCTTTTTTAAATGTTATACATTGACATAAGAAAGAAATAATGGAGTGAGTTTAGTGCTCAAAGGAAGCCAAACACTCTGTTAAAATAGATGAGAAAATAATTGAGATTCAGAGTTGGGGTTCATCCCAAACACACAAATGAGATATATGTAATTTAATATTCTGCTTGTTTATTTTTCCACCTTACTTATAGGTAAGATGTTTTGTGGTTTGTTCAGCCTATAATGTAGATATATTATCCCATGGTATAGATATATTGTCCTATTGTCCATTGCATAGGTATAATATGAGGGTCTTACTTTTATTGATTAAATGGTATATATTAGGTAAATATTATCAAGGAAAGAATTCAAAATTCAATTACAAGGAAATTATGCATTAAATTTAGATTTTCAATATGTTTTTCTTATTTATCTCAAAGGGTAAAATCAATACAACAAAAAAAGTAAATAAAGTCAAAGGACCTAAATCTAAAACTAAAAACGCATGGACTAAATCCAATACCAGCTAATTGTTTTGGACCTAGATCGAAGAACCCCTTTAGATAATCAAACAAAAACATTAAAATAAAAAAAAAAAAAAAAAGTGCTAATTGCCTATAAAAGTAGTTCCAATTACTTCTTTCAACCATAAAGATAAAAGCACTTGAATTTTTAATAAAATTTACATTTGCTTATAATAAAAATATTTATCATAAGTGCTTCCTAAACAAATATTCTATATACTTTCTACAAAAGCATTTTTCAAATAAAATTAAGTGACCAGAGTTGTAAGGCTCAAAATCAACAAGGCCCACGTCTACAAGTACTGACCATATTATTAGTTCTTGAGTTTCAATTATACGAAACAATTAAATTAACCCATTACTTTTTGTGTTGTTAATGCAAAAATGTATGCGCACCAAAAAAATCTTATTAGTAGTTAAATTTCTCGAGGTGATCATCAAAGAGGATGTAGGCACAAAATCTTAGTGTGCTTTGTACAACACTACGTACTCAATTGTGGAACTGAATATGGAAAAACAGCAGCTTTATTATACCACTACCAATTTTAGATTACAATGCCATTACTCAAGCTGTTCAATACATATGCAGCCATATGCCAAGGGAGGGTTATCCAACTGGATAAGAAGCATACATGGCAATGCCACAAAGATCTTCTGGAAAACCAACATCTTTGCGCAATCTCATGTAGCCACCCTCACCCCAGTTTGCTCCCCATGAATTCTTTACCAACCAATACTTAATGCCCTCTTCATTTTCGTCAAAGGCAACGATTGTAACACCATGGTCAAGTGATCCCACAACCTCCAGAAAAGACCCCACTGGAGTAATGTCGGAATGTCATTCCTCTGCCTGCAACTGCAGCTGTGACCGGTTGCATGGAAACAGTCTTCTGCAGTGCCTCCTCCCTGTCAGATGGCACAGATTAGTAGCCCGCAATACAGGCAGGAATGTTATTTTTCTTCTCAATGTCACATGTTTTATTATTTCCTATGTATTGGTAACTTGTTTCACTGGTGATACCGTCTGTTTGTATATAATCGAAGGCATCGAGCACATTACCAGTTTTGAAGAAATGTCACATTTACTTATACATCAGTTTCAATTTGTCGCATTAAAGAAAAATTTAAGCAAAATGTCACCTTAAGTTTTTAAAATCTATGATTTGTCACCTGACTTTAACATCATCCAATTTTCCATCCATTTTGAAGGGTATTTTAGTCTTTCCAATATGTAAACCCTCTTTTTTATATAATTTAAATATAAAGCTATGTAAACCCCCTTGCTTGGAAAGACTAAAATACCCTTCAAAATAGATGGAAAATTGGATGATGTTAAAGTCAGGTGACAAATCATAAATTTTGAAAACTTAAGATGACATTTTGCTAAAATTTTTCTTTAATGTGACAAATTGAAACTGATATATAAGTTCACATGACATTTCTACAAATATCCCTAAAGATAAAGCACTTGAATTTTTAATAAAATTTACATATGCTTATAATAAAATATTTATCATCAGACTTCCTAAACAAATATTCTATAAAAAAAAAAAAAAAAACAAATAAACAATATATACTTTCTACAAAAGCATTTTTCAAATAAAATTAAGTGAGAGTTGTAAGGGCTCAAAATCAACAAGGCCCACGTCTACAAGTACTGACCATATTATTAGTTGTTGAGTTTCAATTATACGAAACAATTAAATCCCCATTAAAGTAAATTTAGGTTTTAGCCAAAAAAAAAATTTTCACTTTTGGAAAAAGCCAAAGCTTTTTCAAAAATGGCTTTTTCCAAAAAAGACAGAAAAACCTCTCAACTTTCAAATCAAAGATATGCAAATGTAAATGATTTCTTAGGAAATCCAAAAATAAATAAGGGCAATTTTGTCAATTTTGGCTTCTTTTACAAAATTTCTCTCTCCTTTATGTTTTTCCAAAATCTCCCTTAAATTAACCCATTACTTTTTGCGTTGTTAATGCAAAAATGTATGCGCACCAAAAAAAATCTTATTATTAGTTAAATTTCTCGAGGTGATCATCAAAGAGGATGTAGGCACAAAATCTTAGTGTGCTTTGTACAACACTACTCAATTGTGGAACTGAATATGGAAAAACAGCAGCTTTATTATACCACTACCAAGTTTAGATTACAATGCCATTACTCAAGCTGCTCAATACATATGCAGCCATATGCCCAGGGAGGGTTATACAACTGGATAGGAAGCATACATGGCAATGCCACAAAGATCTTTTGGAAAACCAACATCTTTGCGCAATCTCATGTAGCCACCACCCTCACTCCAGTTCGCTCCCCATGAATTCTTGACCAACCAATACTTAATGCCGTCTTCATTTTCGTCAAAGGCAACGACTGTAACACCATGGTCAAGTGATCCCACAACCTCCAGAAAGACCCCACTGGAATAATGTCGGAATGACATTCCCCTGCCTGCAACCGCAGCTGTGACCGGTTGCATCGAAACAGTCTTCTGCAGTGCCTCCTGTCAGATGGCACAGATTAGTAGCCCGCAATACAGGCAGCAATGTTATTTGTCTTCTCAATGTCACATGTTTCATTATTTCCTATGTATTGGTAACTTGTTTCACTGGTGATACCGTTTGTTTGTATGTAATCGAAGGCATCGAGCACATTGCCAGTTTCGCAACCTTGGTTGGCGCCATTTTTGGAACAGTCCACTAGTTGTTGGACAGTGAGATCAAGCTACCAGTTTTGATTTGTGTAATTCCCTCCACAGCTGCCAGCCACTGCTGTAAATGCCCAGCAACTTCCTATATAAATTAATGATCACAAAAATAATGTTCATGTGCATGTTATATAACTAATTAGTTCTGGTAGGGAGCTTTGAATTTTGGTGCTCATCTTACCACATACACCTTGGAATTTTATGGGGGTGACAGCTCCTTCGTTCCTCCAGTCAATGGTTGGTGGAACATCAGTCAGTTTTTCGTTCCAGAAAGAACTATTTTTGAATGAGCTTGTGGTTTGTATCCAGTATGAAACATGGTGAATTCTTCATCTGTAAGGTCTGAGAATTCGTTGAGGCCTAACTTGTAAGTGTGATTCGCTTCCTTATTAAACTTTTTGATGAATTCCACATTTTCCTTGAATATCTTGAAACACCTTTACTTTTCTGCATATTTCATCGCCATTGAAGCTTCATCCAACGCGGTGGATGCGGCTTTTGATGCCCAAGTCCCCGAAACCCCTATGAACATGGAAATCATGAATTTCCATTCAAGTGTAAAAGCCATTGTTATTAGCTGATTGATGATCACTAGGTGTGAAGAAGCAAGATCAAAATTTCCATATATATAGATGATGAGCATCTTTGTTCTTCACTGTTAAGGAATATCTTTGGATATATGTGGAACGGAACCTGCATATTGAAAAAAAACCAATAAAAACTTCAGTCAGATCGACTCATTTTCTGCTTCACTGTGATGAAATGAAACACATTTTCAATATTAGGCCATTAGAACTCGATTAATTCTCGTATAGAGTTTGTCATACCTAGCTAGCATATAAGATGCATACGCATACTTACATATATATCACTCTGATCTATTTTTGTAAAAAGAAAAAGTGCATCAAATTCACTTTTAAGCAATTAGGCTAACAGACATGGATAAGCATAAACCAATATAATCTAAATAGCCAAGTGAGCAGGATATGACAAGGTCTGCAGGCACAGATAGGCATCAACCATATACATGCTATGTGGTTTACACCAGGGATCTTGTTGGCCATATATATATGATGGTAACTCACATATCAACATCTTCACAAATTATCATGTGGCTAGCCAGCCTGTGTTTTAGATTCTTTAAAATAAACTAAAAGAAGAAGCAAGGGTCAATTTCAGCAGTACCGATCTATTTAGTAGTTCGAGTGCACTAATATATTGCCTAAAAATTCAAGAAACAATGTTCCATCATTAATTCCAAAACCTACATACTAAGAAATTACATGATCAATAAGAACACACAAGATGAAGATTGAATATTTCCTAATAATTGCTACAGAAATTCAAGCAGTAGGATAAGAAGGTTTCATGGTAATGCCACAAAGGCCTTGTCTAGTATGCACATCTCTTTGAATTCTTACATATCCACCCTCACCCCACTCTGCACCCCATGAGTTTTTGACTAATCAATACTTGGTACCATCAGCACCTGTCCCATACCCAACTACAGTGACACCATGGTTCAAATGAGTTCCACAATCTCCTGTGAGAATTCCAAGTGAGTAAAACTGGAATTCGTATCCACCGGCATCAATTGCAACAGAAACAGGCTGATTGGCCACGGCCTTCAACAAAGCCAACTCGTTGGCTGGTACATCTTCATAACCTGTGATCTTTGCTGCATGATATGCTACCTTGTTCTTGTTGCAGATTCCATCAACTCCTCTATAGGGGTAGTTTGCTTCAGCTGCCAGGCCTTTGTTGCGCATTACAAACTTAAAGGCATCATCCATGAGACCACCCTCACAGCCTTGGTTCTCACCCTGAGTGTCACAATCCACTAGCTCTTGCTCCGAAAGAGACACGAGCTTCCCACTTTTCAGCTTTGTAGTGCCTTCTGTGGCTGCCACTGCAGAAAATGCCCAACCGCATCCTATATACCATATCACAATACAAGCCCGAGTTAGAAAAGATTAATGCGAACCACATAGTTGAAAACAAAAATTAGGATGAGGATATTAGTGATTTTGGATAATTACCACAATCACCCTGGTCCTTGATGGGGGTGACAGCTCCCTTTTTTCTCCAATCCATGCTGGATGGGATTGCAGTCACGTTCTCATATCTATAAGGTGTCTTAGATGACATGGGATTGAGGGATGTTCTGTATCGGTTGCAAGAGGCTTGGAATTCTTCATGACTCTGGTCTGCAAATCCATTGATGTTTAGCTTGTAAGGCTGATTGCTAGCATAGTTGAAGGACTCTATGAACTCCACATTGTCCTTGAATATCTGGAAACGCTTTTCCCTCTCTTCATCGTCCTTGTAAATGTGTACATATCAAGCCATCCACTGCTTATGTCTATCTAACATGGAAGTATGAGCATCAAGCAATGTGCGTATTGGTGGATTTAGCTTTATGCTCATACACTCTAAATGTGAAAGGGGAAATACAATGTAACAGACTAAAGAAATAACATAATTTTGGAGATGTGAAGCCCGAAGGCTACACAGAGCTCTTACACAAACTTACTTGAAACAAACTTCAAAAAGATTGATACTCTTGACACACACTTGATACACCCTTGACACACACATTACATACAGTGGATACGCCGCCTATTTATAGGCCATAAGATTAACTTAACATTAAACATAACCATAACCACTATACCCACTAAACCTCACTTTTACTTCAACTCATAAACTAGACATAATAGCTAAACCCTTTATATTCTAACTCTTTATTTCCTTAACTCCTGACCTTTGAAGTTACCCTAACAATCTCTCCCGTACTTTTAAAGCTTATTAACATAGATATTTTCCCCCTTACTCTTCTTCCATGTCGCTTATGTTCACAATAGTTTGAGGCTGGCCAATGCCATCTTCTGGATTTTCATCTTGTGTTAGCATTCCAATATCTAGCTCTAGATCCATCACTTGATCTTGTAGCGTCTCAATATCTTCCTGCAGCTTTCCACATTCAATCTTGAAATTCATCAACGTATTAATGATATCATGTTCAATCCAATAATTTAGACAAAAATATACCGCCAAGTGTTCAGCATCCTTCTTTGTGTTTTTCCATCTACTTGCAAATTTTGGATGTGCACCTCCATCAAAATTAATATGACACATGAATTGCATTGCATGAGCCGGTCCCTTGGTTGCAAAATTAAAATGTGATTCAATATTAAGGTTGCGTGCAGCTTCAATCAAAATAGGCTTGAATGGCACAACGACTGATATACTCTTCCTTTTCTCTTTTTGGCTAAAAGAGAGAACGCACTTAATAACCAAACACTTTCCTTCATGAATAAAAAACACTCAATTTTCTTTCTTTTTTTCTTATGGGTGCACATTTGCCCCAATCTTCAAAGGAAACATTGTTCCTTTTTTCTCTTCGGCATCCTTGTGCCCTTCTCTCTTCCTTCGGCATCCATGTGCCTTGCTCTCTTCATTCGGCATCCATGTGCCTTGCTCTCTTCATTCGGCATCCATGTGCCTTTCTCTCTTGATTTGGCATCCATGTGCCTTTTTCATTGGCATTAATATGCCTCTCACTTACAACACACACAAAAAAATATTTTTTTTCTACACATCTCAAGCCCACGATAAAACTTTTTAATAACAACCAAAAATATTTTCATCATGCCAAAACAATTTAAATATAGAACCACAACCAATGCTTCATGGTACATGCCAAAAATCATTTAAAAATTGGACCATGCTCTAAATCCCACATCTCTCATACAGGTCCTCATGACCGTATCAGTTCTGATACCACTTATTGGTGGATTTAGCTTTATGCTCATACACTCTAAATGTGAAGGGGAAATACAATGTAACAGACTAAAGAAATAACATAATTTTGGAGATGTGAAGCCCGAAGTCTACACAGAGCTCCTACACAAACTTACTTGAAACAAACTTCAATAAGATTGATACTCTTGATACTCACTTGATACACCCTTGACACACACATTACATACAGTAGATACGCTGCCTATTTATAGGCCATAAGATTAACTCAACATTAAATATAACCATAACCACTATACCCAGTAAACCTCACTTTTACTTTAAGTCATAAACTAGACATAATAGCTAAACCCTTTATATTCTAACTCTTTATTTCCTTAACTCATGACCTTTGAAATTACCCCAACAGTGCGGCAGTTGGCTTGGGAAGCCCACACCCCCAAGACTAAAAGTGTTAGTAGAATAGATGATGACTTTCTAAGTGTGAAAGCCATTATTTACTGGTTGAGGATTTGTGTGACATGAACTTTGTTTATGCTTATGCTTATAGAAACAATCATGTAGTAACTAGCAGGCACACATTTTATCCCTCAAGATATCTAAGTATATATAGAAGATCTCGGGATCTCAATCCGGCAATCTGTGGTGGCTTTCACTACGCCAATATTGCAAAAACACGTCACTTAAAAGTTGTCGGAACTTGAAGAAAGCGTCGTGGCTTTAAAATTGGCTACAAACCACATCAGTGGTTATAAAAGCGACGTCTTAAGGCATCTAATACGGTGGTAATCCAAAACATATTTCTAAAACACGTCGGTTGTCAGGAAGAACCGACGTGCATCCAAAACACGCTACACACTGTTTCACTTAAGTTGTCCTTCTCAGCTTCACCAAAAACCGTCGTTGTCTTTCTCAACCTAATTTTTCACACCCCGCTCAATGTTAAGTTTCCCTCTCCATGAAAATTCCCTTCCCTCTCGATGAAGCCCTCTCTCCCTATCTGAGTTCAAACCCTCTCTCTCTCCCTCTCTATCACATCTCTGCACCTAAACCCTTTCTCCTCAGCTCAATCCTTTCTAAGCCGACTCTCACATCTCAGAGAGACAGAGGCAACGAGGAGGTGGACTTCGGTGTCGGCTTCGTCACGAGGATCGACGTTGGCGCCGTCTTCTGGATGGTCGTTGGCGCCATCTTTTGGATAGTCGTCATCGCAGGTAACTTCTCTTCGAGGTCCAGAGAGCGAATCAGAAAGACAGTCGAAAAGGTGATGGCCATCGGTGTCATCGACAGAGTGAACGTCGTCATTGCGCTCGTTGTCTGCTTGTCGTTGTCACGGTCATCTCGGTCCTAGCCTTTTAGAGAAGAAGATCCGCAAAGAGGTTTCATTTCATTTTCCTCGACTCTCCGACCCCGACCCCAACCCCAACTCCAAATCCTCTCTTCGATCTCGGACCTCAATGTAAGGCTCTCTCTTTCTCTCTGTGCTACCACTCATGTGTTTAAAGATTTTTGTGATTCTAATATTACAGAGATATTTTAGAGATTTCAGTTATATTGCTCTTTGAATTTTGAGTGATAGTTTAGTTTCTGTAAGATTCCCTTACTATTTTAATGAATTCACTGGTGACTATTCAACTTATATATTTTGTTTGTATTATGTTTTGTTCTTCTGTATAAGATCCATATCTCTTGTTTGGCAGTCTGCAGGATCTTGTGGACTTGCTGGTTGAATGTGCCTCTCATACATAATGTATGTTTATGTTTTGATTTTTATTTAAATCATATGAATTCCTAAGTGCATTGACAACTAAAATTAATTGATTGGTTTGTGTAGCAATAGTCTAACTTGTGGATTGGATTTGCTTGTAAGTTTGAATATGAATATATGCTTATCAGAATAGCTATAGCTTGCAAGTTGGAACCACATTATTAATTATGTGGATATAATTTTATTTTTTCACCACCCTTTCAGTATGTATATCTTTTGCAATTTAACAGGAGGAATCCCACAATCCATGAGTGGTTTAAATTAATTCACTTGTCAGGATGATACTGCAGTTGTTCTCAAGTCAAGGCTGAGGCATCTGTTTTATTGTTGGTGGACCTCATATTCAACATTTTTTGACACTTGAATTTCTGTGACTCTCCACCCTTGCCATTTCATTTCTTAACTTCATGTTTTGTAATGATTTTCCTTAGGTAGTTTCTAAACTACAATACATTGACCTTTGGGGGAGTAAAATATCTGACCAAGGTACAATTCCTTGACCTTTGTTGTTAAAGTTAGCATATGGGTTCAATATTTTGTTTTGAATGAGGCTTATGTTTTGTTTGGTTTAATTTGATGATTGCTATTGGTTATATATATATATGGTTCTATTTGAGTGGGTTTAATTTGGTTCTAATGCAGAGCAAATCCTCTGTTTTATTACTTTTCTGTTTTATCTCTCCTTTCATTTTATTTTGTGCTTGCTCAGTTTTATCTCTCCTTTCATTTTATTTTGTGCTTGCTCATTTCAGTTCTAGGCTTAATATATCTTCTAAACTTCGTTTTCTTTTCTCACATGATTATCAAGTTTGGCTTAATCACCCAGGCTGTTTGTTCTAACAGATAAGTTTGCATTAATTTTATGGTGTTATCCAATTACAGGTAATTGCTGGATTAGCAGCTGATGGAAGGCAAATTGTTGGCAGGACCAAGTCTGAAGCTAACAACTATGAAAGCCTACATGGTAGTATATATGTCATTAACTCTCTCCGAATCTCTCTCTCAGTAAAGCAGGTAGTACTGGATTAGTCCTCAAGCTGCTGTCATTCTAAAGTTTTATAGATCTTTTTGCTAAGTTTAGGTTGTTGCTAAACAGGTTTATGTTTAAAGTTATTGGGGTCTCTTTCGTGCAGGTCCTTCTGACACCACCAACTTGAAAAATGTGCAAGAAGGCAAAGCTAAGTCAACCCAATAACAAATTGATGAAGTTAAGATCAAATTAGTAGAATTTGTGAGCTCCATTATTTCTAATTATAGGTAGGAAGTATGTATGTAATAGAATAAAGATTGGTTGACTATGTAATAATTATTGAATCTTCAAGTTTTATGAAAGAAATAATTTTTGAGTGTATATGTTCGTTAAAAGCAATATAATTGGTTTTCTAGTTAAAATCATTGTATAGAATAGGAAACCAAAAACTAAAATGTAATAGCTTGGGAACTTATTAGAAGACAAATTTAAAAATAATAAAACGATGGTTTTATTGAAAAAACTGTCGTTTGTACATATAATTAATGATTGTTTTAATACAATACCATCATCTTTATATACAATCAACGACGCTTTTTAACAAAATATCGACGTCTTTACCCACAAATGACGACGGTTTTTTCAATAAAATACTGTCGTTTTTTAAACCAAAACTGTCGTCTTTACCCATAAATAACGATGGTTTTTATAAACCGTCGACTTTTGACAGGACCCGCCCTGAATTTCCCGGAACCTGAGACGAACCCTGCGGAGACCCCGGCATCACACCCACGCCGGGTTTACTCCTTAAAACTATGTCCTCCTTTATCAAAGAGGATTAAGGGCACGGGACTTTCTGCCGAAATTTCGGCAGAGTCTCCCCTGTAAATTGAACATTTCCCAAAATTTCCACCTGCATAAAACACATTTTATAACCCAACCAGCAGCATGCACAATATAATCTCATGCAATTTACATAAATGGCCTCCGGCCTTCAGATGATTCTAGCAGACTGCCCACACTGTTTTCAAAATAACTTAATGCATCAAACATGCATATAACAAATTCAAAATCCACCATACACACCTTCACTCACTCAGTCCACAGGACAAGCCTCACTTCAACCAAGTTTCGGGACCAACCACGAGGTTCGCATCATACTCGATAAAACCACCTAAGTGGTGTCTAGGCCGTGGCTGCACCTAGGCGTTATCCCAGGCTGCCTACGTACCCTACTAAGGGATCAAGCCACACGTAGCTCTTTCCTATCAATCCTGGTTCCTAATATCAAATAAACCATTACCTCCCTATAAATTCATACATTCTAGGGTTTATCCATCACAACACACCAAACACAATCACATAGCTCCCCTCATACGACGGGACGCACCCGGCCTCGTATGGGGTCTGTCTACACGCCGGCTAATCCAAAGACGCGTGCGACCTCAACCCTGGGCCTGGCTACATTCTCACTAGCCCTCACATAATCATATCTCCCCTCATACGTCGGGACACACCCGGCCACGTATGGGGTCTGTCAACACGCCGGCTAATCCAAAGACGCGTGCGACCTCAACCCTGGGCCTGGCTACATTCTCACCAGCCCTCACACAATCATATCTCCCCCCATACGTCGGGACGCACCCGGCCACGTATGGGGTCTGTCAACACGCCGGCTAATCCAAAGACGCGTGCGACCTCACACTGGGCCTGGCTACATTCTCACCAGCCATCATACTGTTCACTTTGGGCCTGGCTACATTCTCACCAGTCATCATACTGTTCACTTTGGGCCTGGCTACATTCTCACCAGCTATCACATTGTTCACTTTGGGCCTGGCTACATTCTCACCAGCCATCATATTGTTCACTTGGGCCTGGCTACATTCTCACCAGCCATCATATTGTTCACTTTGGGCCTGGCTACATTCTCACCAGCCATCATACTGTCATGTCTCCCTTCATACGTCGGGACGCACCCGGCCACGTATGGGTTCTGTCAACATCCGAGGAGGTACATAGGGTAGTGCATATAGTATTGCAAACTAACATTCAATTATAGAATCCATACATAATTTTTATACATTAATTTCTAATAATATAAACCCCTTAACAAACAACTAGCATCCGATAATCCCCCATAACCCGCATAACATCAGGACCTGTCACCACGGTCATTTTAATCTTCCTAGGAATGTAATACTACCTAGGAAGTCCCACGGACAAACCAGGGTCAAACTACCCAACCTTGGTCAAACGGGCCCGCGGGGCCCACGACCTCCAAATTTCAATATGACAGTCCTTATAGGTCCTACCAGGTCTAGAACACATGTTCTGCAAGTTTGGTCCAGATCGGACGGTCGGATCGCTCACGATCGCACAATCGTACGGTTACTAAAACCCTAACCCTAGGGTTGGCATTTCCGGAGTATCCGGGACTCAGTTTTACGATCCGTCGAATCTTACACGATCCTAGTAATACCTAGATAAACATATTATAACTTCAGGACCATCCAACGGTCCAAACCTAGCGAACCCGGAAAATATGCGATATGCGATATCCGTTCGGGACTCTAACGGTACCCAAAATGAGATCCGAGCACATCTACGCGCTCGTGAGAACCAGGAGATCATTTTAGAACCTCGAGCCGGTCCATTTTCCTAGCCCACGCACCGCCACACGCGCCGGCAGCGCGTGGGTGCCTTGAGTAATTTCCGGCGGCCGGAAAACTCCAAACCGCCGGCCAAGCTTCCTATCCTAGATGTAAAACCCTATTCTGAGCCACTTTTGTTCTTGGACATACCCCGAAAAATGGCCGGAAGTGGCCGGAAATGCGATCCAACAACCGGCCGAATTTCAATTCGTAGATCGAGCTACTTACGCTACAAATTGATCAATTCCTACCCAACAGGCAGCTAGAGCTCGGAAAATAGGTGAGAAACCATACCTCACTTGCCGGAATCGGTGGCCGGACGACGGAGAACGAAGCCGGCGAAGTTTCGGACGAAACTGAGCTTTTCTCTTCGATTTTCCGGCGAAATCTCGACGGCTGGCGGCGGGACCTGGCCAGGGTAGGAAGAGGACGGCGGCCCGGTCATTTTGGTACTAGCCCCGTCGACTTTGGTGGCCGGACGAGAGCACGGCCGGCCAAAACGTGGCCGGCTGTTTCAGCCGTCGCGAACCAGAGGAGAGAGAGAGGGACGCGCGGGAGAGAGAGAGAGTGAGAAATGAGGGCAATTCCGTCTTTTAACCAAAAATTCCATTTCAAAATATTTACGGTTTTGCCACTGAGGGTATTTGGATCGTATCTCTCTCGTTACAACTCCGATTCGAGCCCATTACGTGTCTACGAACTCATCTCGCCGTGCTCTACGCAGCGATACATCCGGAATTCCCAAATTCCTTCCAGATCATAAAATGACCAAAATACCCCTATCCCACGGGTAAATTCTTAATTTCACTCAAATTAATTCAAACATGGGGTAAATTTGGAGTCGGGGTGTTACAACTTTACCCATAAACAACGACAGTTTTTAACAAAAAACTGTCGTCTTTACCTCAGAACAACGACAGTTTTACCAAAAACCGTCGTCTTTACAAATAAACAACGACTGTGAAAAGCCGTCGTAGTTTGATACTCCAAAAGATGACGGTCGATTTAACGACGGTCTTCAAAGCATTACAACGACTGTGAATCACCGTCGTCTATTTTGTTTTTTGTAGTAGTGTTTGACAACCAGGTTGCATTCCAAATATGTTGTCATGTTAGCGAGCGAAGTTTTCTTCTGCGATTGATTAGGACTAAAGATAATTATCTACTAGTACTGTTTCACTATACTGAAATAGTCTTGGAAGTCGTTAGTCTAAGCATCAATGTTTCATTTTGGTTGCTGAACCTGAAATCTAATGTGTTTGTTATTTAAGAAAAATGGCCACTTGGATCTAGAAGGTTACACTAACGCAGATTATGCTGGGAATATTACAGATAGACGTTTTACATCAGGTTACTTCACCTTTGTTGGTGGTAACCTACTTACGGGCGTAGCAAGAAGCAAAACGTTTTGTCTCGGTCCTCTGCAGAGTTTGAGTACAAAGGGATTGCCCAAAGGGTTTGTGAAATACTGTGGTTGAGGTGGTTACTTGCTGAAATTGGGTTTAAACCGAATGCTGCTACAAAGCTCCACTGTGATAATCAATCTGCATTTGAAATTGCTAACAATCTGGTGCAACATGAACGAACTAAGCATGTAGAAGTTGATCGGCATTTCATTAAGGAGAAGCTGGAGCATAAGTTAATTTCTATACCTTTTGTGCATTTTTCAGAGCAGTTTGCAGATATATTGACCCATGTCGTGTCAAAGCATCGATTTGAAGACTCACTTGACAAGTTGGGCATTACCGATATCTATGCACCAACTTAAGGGGGAGTGTTAGCGTGAGTCAACGTTCCTATTAGGAATAGAATTTATATTTTATTGTAATTATCTAATTTGAATAGAATTAAGAGATTTTGTACATATTTCCTACTTGTACCTACTCTGTATGTAGTATATATATTCCTCCTTGAGAGAAGAATAAACATATAAGTTTAAACCCTAATTATTTTGAGTTAAACTCCTGCTCGGCAGCCTCGATGCCTATTGAGACTTGCAGCATGGACACAGCCTTGAGCAGGTCGTCTTCACTATTGGCAGGCACCTCTTGATTTAGACAGCAGGCTGATTTGCCCTGTCAGCGTCACATGTTCCCTCCAAAGCCTGGTACGGGTAATTTGCTTCACTTGCGATTTCCTCCGTTTTTTTGGATGTATTCAAAGGAAGTGACCATCAAACCACCACCGCAGCCTTGGTTGCCATAGCCTCTGTGCAGGATGATGTGGCTTGAGATGCCGAAGTACCCAAGATGATGAATACGGCAAACACCACAAGGTTTTTCACAAAAGCCATTGTTCACAAAGTAGTGACTGGAAAGCTAGCTGTGAAGGGAATGCTAAATCGTTGCAGTTGCTGTCTAACTCAGATTTGCAAAACTAGTGGTGGTGCAATGCAAGCTTCCAACGTTCCTTTTATTGCAAATGGTAGACTCTATGATGTGTGTATTTGTGGTTGAGCAAATTTTTGATGCCTCCCCTGCCAAATGGAAAAAAAAAAAAAAAGAGACATGATTTGTTATTTTTTTCTATTCGACAAAGACCAATGAGACTTTTGAGGTCGTCGGTCCTGTAATCGATCAAAATCAACACGGCTCACGTCTACAAGTACTAGCCCATGTTATTAGTTCTTGCGTGTCAATTTCATCAAATACAAGAACTATATAAAACATTAAACCATATCACTTCTTGGGTTGTTGATTTAAAAATGTATGTACGGGAAAATGTCAAAAACTCCACCATATGCTTCCTATATGCTCTAATTTTTGAATACCAACTTATGCAGTAGTGTTTTATTTATCGCATTACATATTACGTATTATATCAATCTAATGCACTACGTACATAGTTTACTACGTGAAAGGATATAAACATATTTGCTAGCTCCTGCCTTAGCCGATACAGGCATTTTCTTTATCAACCCAAAAATTCCAACCACCATCAACAACATATGAATATGTCAAAATTCATCACATTATAATGATAATTGACAACATGTATACATCTAATATCAAGGATACCAATCAAACAATATAACTTCCCCAAGCATAACAACAATCAAATATTATCAAGCATAATGTAGTATTTACAATATTTAATTAACTCAATGTATGCAAAACAAAACTTCCCCAAGAAAAACCCCTACCTCAAATCCAAAGCTATTGTATAACTCCCAATTGTAAGTCCAAACACTTTGAGTTTCTCCAAAATCTCACCACACTTCACTCTTTCTTTCTTCTGTCTATGATTTTTAGGAGACTAACACACTTGAAGTACCTATGATCAAAGAACTATTGAGTAGACCTATTTATAATAAGCTAGAGTCGATTAGATGAAGCTTAATGTTGTGCCACCTAATTAGTCTATAGGTTCCTAGACTCTCAAATAGCCTTTTGTGTTGGCTTTGTAGAGTGCTTAGTGAGCACTTTCCTATCAAGTTTATATATATAGGAATAACTATCATTCTTACACCTCATGCTTTAATTGGTTTTGAGGACACTACATTGCAACACGTCAGTCTTCAACAATGCTTAGTAAGCATAAATGTTTTTCTAACAGTTTTTGTAAAGTAAGTATATATATATATATATATATATATATATCTATATATAATAATAATAAATAAATAATGCTGAAATGAATTGAAATAATTAAAGCCATGCAATAACATTTGATAGGCTATACTAGTTAATAGCTAACTTCACGTAACTTGCCATACAATTTATATTTATATATGTAGATATATTATTAATTATATAGTTTTGAAGACTAATAATTGTAAATATTTAATTTTTATGAAATATTAATATACGTATTTAAAAATATGGGGTTTCACAAGTCTTAACCTAGAATATGACTTAGATGAGTCAAATCAAACAGCAAATACAGGCATTTTCACAGCCAATGATTGATATGTACAGTTGCATATATGGATTCTATAGCCTATATACACTATATAGGTGAAGTTGAGAAGATTAAATCTCCTCCTTTGATTTGATCAATATATAGATTATGCAGTCGGATAGGAGCCAGGCCACAAACACCTTCTGGGGTTTGTATAGAGGGTTTATATAGAAGATGATCAGCATATGTTTGATGTAATCAGTACAATACCTGCATACTATTTTCTGGAGGAGTTTCAGCCTTAATTTTTAAGATATGACAAAAAACTCTACCAAGTTTTTCCAGTCCCCAATCCTTAATTCGCTACCGTGTTCATCTAGAATTGTGGATTAATTTGGTCATCAAACTTTCACATCGAGCTAGAACAATCCAGTCCTTGATGTGAATTTGATGTTCAAGAATGCTAAATCGTTGCGCAGTTGCTGTCTAACTCGGATTTGCAAAACTAGTGGTGGTGCAATGCAAGCTTCCAACGTTCCTTTTATTGCAAATGGTAGACTCTAAAGGGATGATGATGTGTGTATTTGTGGTTGAGCAAATTTTTGATGCCTTCCCTGCCAAATGGGAAAAAACCAGAGAAAAAAGAGACTTGATTTGTTATTTTTTTCTATTCGGCAGAGACCAATGAGACTTTTGAGGTCGTCGGTCCTGTAATCCATCATAATTTATGCATAATAAGACTTTGGGCAGTTCGGCGGAATGAATAGGAGTACAAGTAGTAACCCATGTTATTAGTTCTTGAGTCTCAATTTCATCAAGTAGAGGAATTATATAGAACATTAAACCATATTACTTCTGGGGTTGTCGATTTAAAAATGCATGTTTTATTTTTCGCATTACATATTACGTATACTATATCAATCTAATGCACTATGTAAGTAGTTTACTACGTAAAAGGGCACAAAAACACACTTTTAACAAGGGCTCCAGAGAAACCTGACGACTAATTGCATATATTATTTGCTATTTAGAATATATCTTGCACATGGGATATTAATTTATCCATGATGTAGTTGGATATAGGCATTTTCACAGCCATTGATAATACATTCACTTCGATATGGATTCCATAATAGCCTATATAAATATATATAGATTATGCTGTCGGATAGGAAGCATACTGAGCAAGGCCACAGACACCTTCTGGGGCACCAGCATCCCTAAGAATTTTCATATAGCCATTTTCACCCCAGCTCTCACCCCATTGATTCTTGAGTAACCAATACTTAGTGCCGTCCTCAGTCGTCCCGTACCCAATGACGGTAACAGCGTGGTCCTGTGTTGTCCCACAATCTGTGGGCGAGAAGACCCCACTTTGGTAACTCCTAAACTCGTTCCCGGAACCAACGATGCCTATTGAGACTGGCTGCATGGACACAGCCTTGAGTAGGTCTTCTTCACTATTTTCAGGCACCTTTTCATAACCAGTGATCTGGACAGCAGGCTGATTAGCGTTACATGTTCCCTCCACAGCCTGGTACGGGTAGTTTTCTTCGCTGGCAATTCCTCCGTTTTCTTGGATGTATTTAAAGGAATTAGTCATGAGACCACCATTGCAGCCTTGGTTGCCATAGTCGCTGGTACAGTCCAGAAGTTGTTGCTCGGACAGTGAGATCAGTTTCCCAGTTTTGATTTGGTTAATCCCTTCCACTGCTGCCACTGCAGAAAATGCCCAGCAACAGCCTACATATATAATACAAAAACAAAAACATCAATACTTAGTAAAGAATATGGATGAGTTAAGAAGGTAATTAATATAAGGAAGGTGGATCTCTTAATTACCGCAGGCTCCTTGATCCTTTATGGGGGTGACAGCTCCTTTCTCCCTCCAGTCAATGCTAGGCGGAACATCAGTCGGGCTGAGGTCTTTGTACCTGAAAGATATGTTTGCGGATGAGGTTGATTCAGTGGCCCTTTTGTATCCAGTACGCTGCCGGAGGAATTCTTCATCGCTCAAATCAGAATGTTCATTCAGTCCTAACTTGTAAGTCTTGTTCCCTTCAGAGTTGAACTTCTCCACAAACTGCAGGTTCTTCTTGAATATGGCGAAACGCCTTTCCTTCTCTGCATTGTCCGCATAAACACGGCCATACTTTGTCATCCATTGATCATGTTTTGCAGCAATGGAAGCTTCGGACAGTGTGCGGGATGTGGCTTGAGATGCCAAAGTCCCCAAGACGATGAATATGGCAATGACCACAAGGTTTTTCTCAAAAGCCATTGTTCGCAAGGGAATATTGGCTTAGGTTTTAAGTAGTGATATTGGAAAGCTTAGCTAGGTGTGAAGAAGCAAAGCATACGATCGTGGGTTTATATAGAAGATGATCAGCGTGTTTGCATGTGAACACAGTGTTCATGTTATTAGCGGAATTTGGAAGGCAGCGAAATTTCCAGGCACGTACGTAGCCGAATACTATTAAGTTGATATTTTGTTTTGTTTGTGGAAAATTGGCGCAAATCATCATTCACCCGACGTCTATGGAGGTGCAATTGGAGCAAATCATAATGTATGAAAAGAGTCAGGCATGTATGTAGCCGAATACTATTATGTTGATATTTTGTTTTATTTTGTTTTGTTTTGTTTTGCATGTGAACACAATGTTCAATGTTGATATAAACCCACATACTTTTAAACATTTACTTAAAACTCAACTTTAAGCCAACGTGTCTAACTTAGTGAAAAATGGCCTTCATTTGTAGACAAGCGGACATCTCAGGTTTGAATCCTCAGGACATCTTGATTGTGTGTGTATGAGAAATCCTCATACTAAGATAGATTTGTCCTACCCTAAATTACATATCCAATAAATAATGTACCTATAAAAAAAAATAAAGAGATGAATTGTAGTTGAGGAAAAATGACTTTGAAGGGATTAAGCTAAATTTACGAATATATTATATTATTTATTGTTGGTTGAGTTTGTGAATGCCCATTCTGGTACTACTAACCCATCCTAACACAGTACCTATTGCTGGAGGAGTTTCAGCCTTAATTTGCGACATGACTGAAACTCTCTCAAGTCTTTCCAGCAGTCTGCAATATCCTTAATTCTCTACCGTGCTCATGTGGAATTGTGGATTGATGTTGGTCGTAAAATTTTGAAAATCGAGCCAGAATAATCCAATCCCTGACGTGAATTTGATGTTCAAGTAAGGATGCTAATTAATATACCGTGTAACTCAGATTTGTAAGACTAGCAGTGGGGCAGGAATAGAAGATGATCAGCATGCATGCAGCCAAGCATTGGTTAGTCAGGAATTGATATGTTGTCTTGTGGAAAATTAAGAAGTCCAACTTGAGCATGCAGCCAAGTTCTAACAATTTGTATGCGAAGAACTCCAAATCCAGGTGGGGCTCAGCATGCATGCAGCCAAGCTTTACTTATTGTCATC